ATATCCTCCGTGATTGTGATCTGGTCTCCCTTCCGGTCAAGCAGGAGCTCCACCACCTCGACCCCCTTCCACCTATTCCCTGCCGCGGCTTTGACGATGTCCTCCGTGATTGTGACCTGGTCTCCCCTCCAATCCAGAAGGACCTTCATCACCTCGACCCCGCTCTCCTCATTGCTGGCTGCCCTACGAATCACTGCTCCTGCCATATGCGATTTGAGATCTGCTCGTTCGAGCATGAGCTTCAAAACTTGAATGTGACCCGAAGTAGCGCATTCCATGAGCGGTGTTCTCCCTTCTGAGTCTTCGTACGCCGCATCAACGTAGAGAGAAAATGGTGCTGTATCTCTCGATGTTCTATGTTCCGACGATAGCGCATGGTCAACAAGCAACGGGATCCCCCATCGGGCAGCTATGTGAAAGACCGATACCCAAGAAGGCTCGAACAATTTCTCTGAGACGAAACCTTTCCACCAAGTGTCACGCTGCCTGGAATTTATCGTGAAAAACTCGGCCTGGCTGGCCTCGATCTGGAACTCTTCTTTGGCCATGTGTGCATGATCAGGCCAGAAACGTATCGAGTAGGAGACAAAGTTGTCTCCCGTTGCGTGTCCCCCCCTTTGGGGTGAATAATTCGCAATGAGATAGTCGATGCAGCGGCGCGCGAGCCCGTTGTGTGCCTCTAGCTCGGAGATGAAGCGCCAGCTGCTGCCTGCGTCACCGACCAGAAAGTCTCTGACAGACTGGTGTAACAGCAGTACCTTCTCGTCCTGCACCACGATCATCAACCGGCAGGCAGCGATGACTTCTGTCGTGAACTGAATGCGTTCCTCATCGTCTTCGTCTTGGTAGAGTTGGCACGCCGAGGCGAGTTCCCGTATGGTAAAGGGACGCCGTGCTACCATGACGAAGCCGAGTAGCCGTTTGACCGTGTCGGGTTTATCGTCTTGTTGGAGTGCTGTGTCGAGGAGCTGTCTGTAGAGCGACTGAAGTCCCGCTGGGATCTGCTGAAGGCGTGTGACGGCGTTCCTTGAAGCGACCTTCTCCAGCTCCTGACAGACCAAGCCGACCCAAAGAAAGATGCCGCCTGCCCTCTCACGGAGGATTCGGGTAACACTGCGTGCCACGCTGTTCGGATAGCTCTTCTTCCTGCTCAGCTTAGCCACCTTCTCGTCCACAAACTTGTGAATGTCTTGTCTAGACTCTTCAAACGACGCCAGGTCTTTTTTAGGAAAGTTTTGCAGGCACTCCCTGATTTCGAGGTACGGTCGGCTGGTGATCAGGAGGCTGACGTTCAACGTACCGGCGCCAGATCGAGCCTGTCCGAAAGTGTCCTCGATCTGCTTCAGCAACATCTCCTGCTCGTCCTGCTCGCACTCGTCTAGAGCATCGATCAAGCAGTACTTGCGGCCCGTAGCCTTGTCTGCGCAGGCTTTCAAGAAGATTGCCCATACGGCATCGAATGAGTTGAACGCTTGGGCGTTGCGCTCTTCGTACTTAGGGAGGACGTGTTCGATCAGCCGTGGATGCTGCTGGACTAACTGCAGAAGGAGCCCGCGGACGACCGCAGCGGCCGTCTTGCGCGTGTCGTAGCCCGAGTCGCAGAAGAAGTACGCGAGCGTCTTCTTTGGGGTCTTGGGGAAGACCTCCGGCAGTGCCTCCGCAAGGAACATGGACATTGTCGACTTACCTGTCCCCGGGTTTCCGTAGAGCCAGAGTACATCCGTTGGAGGTGACGTTAACTCTACCGCGTCGCCGAGCCAAACGGTCAGCTCGTGAGTCTCGAGAATCCAGTCGCATGTGCCTTTGGCACGGCCGCCTTTCTTCCGCTTCAGCGCCTGCATGTCCGTGTATGGGTCGGTGAGGAAGAGGTCACGGATACACTCTTTTACTTTGGATTTGTCTGCCAAGGCATCTAAATCTGGTACTGTGATGAGGCAAGGAATTAGTGCCTGTGAAATATGGGATGAGATGGTCTTAATGATGACTACTGCTTCGTACCATACTGCTGCGTGACCGCACCAAAATATGCCGGGCCGGAGCCGTTGGCGATGTTTTGATTCCCCCCAATCTTATCCCCCCAAACGTTATCACCGGAGCCATAATGATGCTGACTGATGGAGTCCTCATCCAGGAGCGAAGGCTCAAGGCTGGACAATTCCTCGATAGCCTTGAGGAGTTCGGCGATCTGAGATTCGGTTGCCGCTTGAATTGCGCGGTTCACGGCCAGGAGTCGCACATCTTCCATCATCTCCTTGGTCAAAACTTCCACCAGATTCCCCTTACCCAAACGCCGCACGACCACACGGTAGCGCTCGAGCCTGGATGGATGCTCGGGTGCCACGGCATTGAAGATTTCCTCTAAATGCTCCGCCTTGACCTTGCACTTCTCCAGGACGTTTTTTATCGCCTGGCATGCCTCCTCGTCTGTATTGGCGCTGATGTGTCGTTCGGCAATTTGGAGAGTGTTCCGTACAAGTGGGAGTTTTTCAGCTACCTCACGAAAGGCGCGCGGGAGATTCTTGGCGTCCCTAAGACCATTGTAGATGTTCTCGATGGTTCCGACAATCGCTATGACGGCAGAGATCAGGCCAACAACCTCGATGCCCGACATTGTTGATCAAAGTGCGCAGCCAGGTGTTGCACGGCGTTAGAGGTTGGTGGAATGTGAAGCAGGGAGTCTTAGTTGTCAACTAGCCTGTGATATGGCAGGAATGTCTGGGGAGGGGATGATCTTGTAGATACTCGGAGACGGCGTCTTGAGGAGGGGAATGGCTGGGAAAAAGCGGGATCGGGGGAGTTTATAAGGCCATGGACCCGTAGGTGTGGGCCCTGGAGCGACACATACAGTGGGGCTATTGGCGCAGAAGAACACAGGCAGAGGTCTCGACGTAGACTATTGGTCGGTACGATCGCGTTATTGCGGTGCAGGGGCTCGGCCAGGTAGGGTTTGGCACGATGCTGTCAGGTGGTAGGATGGACGGTTCGCGAACGCATCGCTGGCCCGTATATGCTCCGTTTCGCCTGCCGTCTGCCAAATCGACGAGTCGTTCGGCCTCGGAGGTTGCATTTGTCGCGTGCTGCGCTGGCGTTTGAGATCTTGAAGGTGTCGCGCCATCACGCATGCGCTGCCCGGCGGTTGGACATGGGACGCCGATGTTGATTCAGGGCACAGACTAGGCCAATGAGGCCCACTTGCTCTGAGCCTAAAGTTCGGTAGGGGCCGAGCCGACCCCTCGAGATTACCGCAAGAATCGCCTACCCGACTCGCTGCTCTCAATTCAAACTTGACGTCTCGTTTCCCAGTTCACCACATCAGTGCCTCGCTGCCAGCCTAACGCGCGCATACACTTGTCATCCTACTGGTCTTCTCACCTGCGTCTTGTGGCTGGACGTCCGCCTTTCCCCGCATCTATCATGTCGCTCGTTGCCATTTTGAGGACCCTGTCCATCCGTCAACATCGCCTCCCCAGGCTTTCCGACAACGCCGTTTGAATGAGAGTCGGCACCTTGCAACAATGACGCATCCATCTTCTGGAGAAGATGATGTCGAAATTTAGCTCCTTGCGACCGACCTCTCCTCGTCCCTCGCCGGCTCCCGCAACCTCTCCTCAACTCCCAGCCCTTTCCGAAGCTTCAGTGACAAACCTACAGGAGCGGCTCTGGAACGACGCGTGCGACGGGCTCAGAATGGACAAGCCTGGCATAGTCTATGCGTACGAAAAGTTTTGTCGGCCGAGCTTCAGGATGAAGACCACCCCGGCAACGCTGAGGCTGAGAACGAGATCGAGGCGGCGTCGCGAGATAGGTCACGCCTGATGGGGCGGGCCGGCATCGTCACTCCGGCCCCCTTCCGATACGATTCCCACCTGTCCGAACCGACCGACGGAGTGGCATCCGAGGCACACACGACTCAGGTCCACGACCAAACCACACGACGTTGAAACCCGACCAGTCACGAAAGGCCTGTCTTTGAGCCGGAGATTATCTCCGAGGAAAAGAAGAGGTTCTGGATACAGACAGCCAAGTTCGGCTGCAAAGATAGCAGCAAGCTCTGTGACGAGTTTTGGAAGAAATATAACACCGCCACTATCCCCCTTCGAACCATGGACGAGTTCTACGCTGACGCCATCTTTGCCGCCAAACACACCCAGGACCGTGACCATCTCGAGATGCTGCTTACGGAACAACGCGAGAACCGGTGGAAAGAACTGAAGAATTCCACAATCGACGTCGCCTATGCGTCTTGCACCCAGAAGCAACATTTCCCCTCGACAGCCGTCAAGGATGCCGCCCTCGACGTCGGCCAGACCGGCAGCCTGAGCAGCTTCTTGCACTTCATCTTTTGTGCCATGGCCAGTTGGAATAACGAGCGGAATGCAAGCGACAAGAGAAACGACCAAAACCAGCCCAATCTTCGAAAGGAGTGTCCTACCGACGGTGTCGACGACGACAGGCATGGCCCTGGCCAACTTGACGGCGAAGACTACGGGGCCGACTCCTAAGACGAGTGGGAATACGATAACAATCATGCTCCCCCATTGAGCCCTATACTCGACATCTCCCGCCTACAAGACGATGCCTGGAACGTTTGGGCTAAGTATGAAAGGGTGCGTGAGGGCGATGAGGCCGACGAGACACCATCAACTCGACAACTGGAACAAGCCTCGTCGACAGCCACTGCCTTGGTCGAAGACGAAGAGAGTCGAGAGGACCCAGTCGTTGCAGACCAGTCGCTCCAAGACGCGTCAGCACCGAGTGTATTACCAGAGACGGAGACATCAACGACAGACCACACCTCGCCTCGGCGATCGCAGTCGCAATCACAGCCCCCACCCTCACCAACATCAAAAGATACGCCTCTTATCACCCCCCTTGGGCCATCACAAACCGAAGCGCCTTCGTCACAGGCATCAAATAGTCTGTCCACCACGGCTGGTGCTTCGCGACAATTGATTGATCCGAAACTGCCCTTCAAAGCCGAGAAAGACCCCAGTAGCCATGGCCAAGGCAGTAGGCCAGCGGCAGGCTTGGGCTCGGCCAAGAAGAGACCGCGCCCCGAGGATGATGCTTGGCAACGCGGGAGCAATGATATCAAGCATCGGAAATCCAAGTAGATAGACAGTGTGGCATTCGAGCCCGTAAACTAGACTGAAATACTGTTTCTCGTCGCTCACTTGGGACCGCTGCCATTCCATTGTACGTCCTGACTGAAGGGCACGTCGCCGGAGCTCAGTGATGTCCACCTAATTCGACTCTATCAAAACGCGATCCACCCAAGACCTGATCCAACTTGAACCGGAACTTGAAGAAGTCTCCAAAGGCGCCAATGTTTCATCCTCCGAATCAAAGAAATCGAGCCATGGATCATTCAAGAAGCTAGCCTTCTCCCCAGCGGGATAGCCATCCTCCCGCAGCCACCGTATGGTATGGCTCGTTATGTATCCGGAGACGTCGTTCTCTCGATCAAGAAAGCTAAAATCAACTTCAATAGTGTCGGCGATCGAACGGTCGATTACAACCTCAGCTTCTTTCGTAATACCTTCCAAGCATTGGACAATGGGGCCAGCCTCAGACGGCCATTCAATCTGCACGCATCGCAATTCGTGTACGCACCCCAGATGACGCCTCACGTCGAGGTCTAGGTCCTGAACTGCCGTAACACCCGGAGGGAAGAAAGGATGCAATGGAGCAACCCTTCTCCTAGACTCGCCCTGACAAAGGTAGAGGAGTCTCGCTTCGTCAGCACGTGCAATCGTGTCCTTCTGCAAAGGTCGGGCGTGCGTAGGCTCTTGAATGAATGACATAACAGTCCCTGTCCAAGCAGCCTCGTGAAGATCTGCAGTATTGAACTGCGAAAGTGCCCCAACCTTGCCAAAGAAATTGTTCTCAGCACCTGTGAGTAGCCCCCCTAGCCATAAGAACCCGAGGGAAGGTTTGCGTTGGAAAAATACACAGGCAAGAGCATAAGGGCCTGCATCCTGAAGAACCGCCTTTGTGCCTTGCCACCAAGCGCCGCAAACATCGGAGGGGATCCCTGGTTGGTAAAATATACTGCCTAGCAGAGCTTTTACTCCTGGCGCGTTCCAGCTCAAGGTGAGAAGACGATCAAATCGGAGCTGGTCGTTTCCCCACGGCGGCAGGAGCTTAGATCCCATCTCAATAGGCTTCTCAGACGTTCTGGGTACTGGTAGTTGGACGGGTCTGCGATCGAAGCTGGCAAGGGGATAGAGCAACGCAGCGGCGAATGCCGCGTAGTATTGCTCTCCCAGATCATGGAAGCTACAATACTGCTCGATGTAGCGTATAGCAGTCTCAAAATTAGGCGGTGAATGGATAGAAGTACCCGCTGGCGTCGAGGATCTAGTAAGGCGGATTACGCGATCGTAGCGAAGCAAAGTACTCCATGGACTGAATAGTCGCTTTTCGTAAGAAGTCCTGGTCTTCCACCCTTCTCCTGGCGCTAGAATGGCGGCCCACCATCGTGCAGCCCCGTCATCAATAGGCCCTAAATGGATAGTCGATCTATCCGCTGACCTGCTGGCAGTTTTCCACTCAGCCTGGCTTGTAGTGTATTCGATAAGTATGTTGTAAGATAAAATTTCGGTCCATCGACAAGTAAGGACGTAGAGCCAAGCAGGTATTAGCACCGCTAGGTGGCTGCTCTGCGCTGCAAACCATTTAGGTAGACCGACAGGCTTTCGCGTGATTTTCGTCGTAGTTGGCTGCCCCACAGCGATGCCCATGGAGAATCGAGTTTGGAAGGCGGAAGAGTCCCCGCCGGCACTCCAGGTACATGTAGATGTGATCAAGTCTTGTTCGTCTGGCTTGAGACCTGAAGGCACATTGGGATGCCCTGGAAAGAGATGGTCGGCAGGCAAAATACCAGGGGGGGGGGTCTGCCACGGTGACGTGCTCTTCAAAAGAACAGCCCAGGTCTTGAAAGCCAATTCATAATAGTCTCGAAACTGATTGTCAGTCGGTTTAAGCGTCGTTGCCGCCATGGTGCAGAGCATGTGAAGAGTTGTTCAGAAGTGAAGTTGAGGTTGTGTGAACTCCACAAGTAAGTATTCCGCCGATTGGTTAGCGGGTCCAGGCAGCCATGCAAAGGCAATTAGTCACATGACTGGAAGCTCCCGATCAGCTCACCGAGCTCTTAACCATTACGTAGTCTATCTCTTATAAGAACCGCAAGCAGGCCGTGGGTGGTGGAGGAAAGTTAAAAAGTCGGGCCTCAGACACTTCTTTTCAGGAAAATTAATCGGTTTGCGGCGCATTTTAATTTAGCTCGCAGGTAAGGCACATGTCACAAGCCTCGTTCCATGTGTTCGCTAATGAAAACAAGGAATTAGCAGTGTCATGAAATCTTCCAGTTCAAGCGGATTCTGCACGACCTGTGGCCATCCCAACGGCTCACATCAGTCTCCGCAATGCAACGCAAAGGCATGCCGCAAACGGATCAAAGTTTGTGGCGCAACTACGCATCACCTCCCATTCGAGCCCATCTCTAACGTCGGTGGATGGGTTGTCTGCAGGCCGTGCCCGGAGCATGGTCGTGAAAGTCGAGAGGGCGACTTCAGTATCTATCCCGTGATCGCTAAGGATGAACATGGTAACCTGTACATCGTGGAACCAGGATGCGACCAAGAATACGACGAGACCGCGGACTATGATGACTTGATCAACATCGGCGAGGAACAGGAAGAAGCTGAGTCCAGTACTCGTGACCTGGTCTCTTTCGAAGAATGGGAGCAGCAGCGCAAGGATAATAAAGGAAAGGGAAGAGAAGAGTCTGGCGAAGCCGAAGATCCAGAACTTTCCAACCTGATTCCGGCCTTGAAACAGATGGAAATTGCAGACTTTATGGCTGTAGAGACCTACGCGAGCGGGAAGAAAATCTGTTTCATCAACCAGAAGGGAAAAGAAGTGGAAACGGAGCGTATGGACTGGCAGCTTGTCGATGATGACGAAAATGGTCCCTACTATTATTGGAAAAGCCTGAAGTCTGGAAGATCTTTCACGACCTGGAGCCTTCCCGAAGAAAGAAAAGCGAAACATAAGAAAAAAGGCAGGCGTTAGTCGGGAGGATATTTGTCAATGTCCGGTATAGAAAAGATAATTCAATTTCGAACCCGAATATCTCAAGTAGGGATCAATGCCACATTTGATGAAGGCTGCTGAGTGAACTTGTTTACTAATACCTTGGTGGTGCGTATGTGTCTTAATTGTTCATCAAGGGGTACTGCTATGATGCAATCGCATCGATGCACCTTGGAAATCGGTCATCGACTGTAGCTGAATAATACTCTACATCCTCGGGATGGATGATATCTGATGAACGCCAGACTCGTTTTCGTAGTCCTGATTTATTCTAATTCCTCCGCTCTAGCCGACTTTGGCGAATTACCGGCGGCTTTTGATGGCCGTATATGGGGGAACGTATACTCGGAGGCGGGGATGTTGAGTGTAGCGACAGGAGCTAAGCCTGCTCCGGGTCTATGAGCTAGGAACTCGGTCATCTAACCGCATTACATACTGGGAGCCACGTGAATGAGATAGACGAAGGATCGGGCGGCATGATGATCGTGGTAGTGGCCCTGGATTTGGAATGTGGCAGCGTTGTTAACCAGCATGCTCGTATACCGGGGGCTTAGTATGGCTGGTCGCCGTTCCTGACGACATGGCGCCTTGTTAACCATGTAATCATGTTGTTCATGACTGAGTCTGTTGAGGGAGGATAGTTTGGGCACCCATGCTGCGGGAGGTGCCGTCCCCGTTGGTGTTCTGAAGGAAAGTGCGGAGGGGTTGGCTGCGAGCAAGTATATGAGACGATGGCCGGGGATACGGACAGACACGATCATCGAGGTAGCGAAGCTCGAGGGTGCAATAAACAAATGTGAGGTCCGTGAACTGGAACTGGTAACCGAAAAGTCCTTCCACGCCATTCTGTGCCTCCTGCAACTGCTGCATCATGTGAGGCGGTGGCATGTGGTCGGATATCATCCGCTGGTGGGAAGGGCCATAGCCAGCATGCTGCTGCTGCTGCTGCTGTTGCTGTTGCTGATGGTAGCGACGATGAGACCGTGGTGGTGGCTTTCGATGGCTCCTCAGCTTTGCTCAAGGGAATGCAATGGCACCGCACACCGCTCAAGCTTTCATCAAATGGTGATGGTCTAGTTGTGAAAACGATCGACAATCCAGACCTTGCTCGCGGCTGCAGCGGATCACAGCAAGATGGCCTCCTTGTTAATAGGTGATGGTCAACGCTCTGAAGACCCTGGAGAGAGACTGGCTGAGACTCATCTTTCCCGACGCCTCAGTCTTACTGAGACTGTACACTGGGATGCCCCCCCCCCCCCCCCCCCAACCGCCAGGGGCTAAGCTTCGCGGTTCGCACCATAAGTCACACATAGTGACACTGGCCTGGCCTCCGATGAATAGATCATGGCACGTCACCAACCTACTTCGGCCTCCGCAGCCTCACGTACCAGTCCTCAGGAAACCGACCAGCACTCGGACGAGGAGGTTCACCTGCCGCCACCCCATCCGTCAAACCCTCGGATGCAGAAGCAAGGAGTTGCGCTTGGGACCACGTACGTCAAGGCAGTGTACTGACATGGCGTTCATCGCAGCAGGATCATTGGTCCGAGTGCGCGGCCCCCATTTTGCCTACCTACCTTGGTGGTGTGGTGCAAGGGGTGGCTTTCCAGGAAGTTACAAGTTGAATGACCGCCTCGGATTGGCCCCTGAAGTCTGCGCCTGACTTCCTAGGATGTTACCCGAGTTCCCGCGGTGACTTCCCAGGAAGTCGACCCTCATGCTACAGGCGTGACCTCAGCACGTCGGCCCTCAGGTCTCGGGAAGTCACGCAAATGACCGGAGCCAGGGGCCACCAACCACACAGGCTGTCAGAGGCACAAAGGATGATGTCGTTCCCCCCATACACAGATCGACGTCCTCTCGCACAAGCTGACTGGCATGGAAGAGCCAACATGTACAGCACCTCCTCGGCACCTCGGACAGACGGGAGATCCTTATGTGGTGTGCCAGAAGACAGAGTACAAAAGGGGCCACATCGCCCGTGCGCGTCCCAAAGTCTTCTTCTTTCCTCCGTCATACCCTTGGATTCTTACCAACTACCACATTTTGAATAGATCGCGTTATCTAAGATGGTCACAACACGCCGTTCAGCTGCGAAACAACCGACACTGACCCTCCCGAAGGCCAGCATCCCAACTGCTGAGGATGATGACTGCGCCGACCGAGCGGTCATCACTCATCTGGGCCCCTCCGTACTTTTGGCCACTATGATCGACATTGCCAGTGATCCCGTCCGTGTACAGTCATTGGAAATGCAGCTTTGTAGCCGATCCGCACATGAACTACGTGTACTGGAGCTCTTTTTCGGGGCCTTACAGCGAGTCTGCCAACAAAGCCGGGCCAACTATCCGGACGACTCGGACGATTCTTTCAACTATGAGACATGTCACGCAGATACACCCGTCACGGTGGCGTGTACGCCCATGCACGTCTACAGCTCACCTCCAACCCATCACGACGCCAGCGCGGCTCAAGGACTCTTCGACAATGATACCTCCAGTGACAGGCTGATGGGCTCTTCCGAACTCCCCATCAGCGAGTCGCCATCTCTCGAAGCCCTCGAGCTTGTCGACGAATCTATGGGCAGAGTCGCAGTCAACCTCGAAAGTGGAGATTGGGAACCCAACATTTCCTCTGCAGCGACCTCTCCCCTTTCATCTCTCTCCGACTTGGACTTTGAGGAGCTGGATCGGCGAACCACGAGAGGAGTCTCCGACGAGAAAGCGCAGGCTATGAAGACGAGTACACAGCCAACTCCCGAAACCGTTGAGGTCTCCGACGAGGAGCAGACAGCGCATGCCACCGAGACGAGTACACGACAGCCAACTCCCGAAGCCGCTGAGGTCTCCGACGAGGAGCAGGCAGCGCATGCCACCGAGACGAGTACACGGCAGCCAACACCAGACCCTGGATGTGTCTCTGCGGAAGAGGACGTCGCGCAGCCCACTGAGATACGTACGCAGCAGCCAGCTCCAGAAACCCCCAGACAGAGTTCCAATCTGGAGGCAGTACAGGCTACCGGGCCAGCTCAACGGCAGCCGCTTCCAAGAAGCCGGGGACAAGTCTTCCATGTTGGCTTGATGACTCCAAAAGATTCCCCGCGAAAGACCCTTGCCACAACAACCCCCGCGAGCAGCAACAATAGAACGTTGGAAACCACCAGAACTGTCAATGAGGTTTCTGTGCCAACCGTGGCCAGCCAGATGGATCGCGATGCGGCCCTGCCGAGTAACCTCAATGCAGCGGAACAGCTTGGTAGCGGAGCATCTGGCGACACGCATAAAATGGCCGTGGCTCAAACAATGCGTCATTTTGTTTCAGCCAGTGTCGAAGAAGTTGAGAAGCTCAGTTTGGGTGACAACAGTCATCAAACAAACAAGGACCTGTACCTCTCACTGCAACAAGCCCCGGGCGCCGATCCGGCTTGGTCTGACGGAGCCAAATGGAGCGCCGTTCTGGATTCGGCAATAAAGGGCCAAAGAAAAGCAACAATCCTTTACTTCCTTTCTACTATCGCCTTCGCTCGGTGGCATCAAGAACGGGTGCAACTGAGTGGCCTGAACGCCCGATCCGCGGCTCTCGATATCCGCCTAAGATTGTTTCGAGATGCTGGCTACTTGAACCTATCTGAAGCGGCACTGAACAGTAAGCGTAAAGCATACGCAGTTCATCTTACTCGTGGAAGGAAGATGGCTCGACTTGTAGACGAGTTCGGCTTTGGTATTATTATTCAAGATGCCTGGTGACTCCTCCCACCCCTTCGATGCGGAATCCTCTACTAACATATCTCAGGCACCTAGCGAAGTCAAGTGATTCCGCTCTGGGAGATATCATCGACGAAATCAAGCAGTCCGATGATAAGGTTTTCGTCCTTAGGCTCCTGGGTGAGCAGGTAGGGAGCCTTGTGGAGCAGGGCAAGACTGATCTTGCCACCTTTAAGACGCGTCTTGAAAGGCGACATACACTCAACCACCCCCCAACGTTTCAGGAGGCGCGGCAGTCTACCAAGCTCATTGCTCCAAACCCACACCCGAGTTCAAAAAAAAGGGCTAGCGTGAACAACTCAGGAGCTCCGAAGCGACGCAAGACAAAGTAGAAGCTCTACATAGCATGCCATCAACATTATACCTTACACGTTCCCAGCCCCATCAGGCGGAGTGCCGTAGACATGGATAGCGCGAGGATGTGCTCCATTGCTATGCGGCAAGACTGGACTCTCCTTCCCAATGAATGGTCGCATGATCTTGTCTCTTCGTGCCCCTTTCGCGAGACGCGCCGACACACACGTGCAGTGCCTCAAACAGGCGGCATCTAGCAGTCTAGAACGTCTTCCCCCGACTGTGCAGTTGATGGAAGCCGCTCTCGGTCAACAGGCATCGTTGTGTGGGCCGCAGTAACAGTGGGGCCGTGTCGGAGGGCCGACTTCCGCCCGATGAGCGCCGCTCCGCATTCCACCACTCACAAGGCAAGTCGCACGTCGCCAGGCTCTCCAGCCCCACAGTGTGAGCCGGCCGTGCCATGAGCGATGGGTTATGGCGTCCGAGCACCTCTTGATCACGCACGACGACACACTAACATGAGCATCTACGCGTGTAAAGCTGGGGCCACACATTAGTCGATGCAGCGCGGCTGCGCCTACATGGGGGACGTGGCGCGCGGGGCAGTTATCTGGCTACAGGGCATCCTGCACCTAAGGATCTGTCTTGCTCCTGCGTACGGCAGCGACGGCAGGCCATTCATTGTATCCAGAAGTTCGGTGCGCAGGCGGTCATCGGGCCATTTATCACCGTAGCCACAATTGTGGCAGAAGCGGAGAGCCCGCATTACTAGTACGCCGGAGCGGTTGCAACTGACACGAGGGATGAAGCCAATCCTAGTGGCTTACATCAAAGACTGTTTCAATCTATCGTTCCCTATCAAATTGAGAGGACGACCTGTTTGATGGCATGCACGAGAGGTTGAATTGGTTGTCGTGGTTGGGGAATGCATAGCTTAAACACGTTACGAGGTACAACTTCGCCATCACCAAGTGTTCTCAGTCCAATTATATCTTGACATCTGTCTCACCACACCAAAAATCCTAGCCGAAGAAAGGAACCTACACAATCTAGAGCAGAATAGTGCCTCTTCATTCTACCTCACCCCTCAGATACCTAGGGACGGGAGCAACTTCCGGGGGAGCTTCTTCGTCTTGCCCCGGACCTCGCTGACCTGGCGGTCTCGGCCGCGGCCTTTGATGCCCTTGTTGCTATTCTTGTAGATGTTCTCAAAGTACGACAGAAGCTCGCGATCGGTGTGGGAGAGTGCGTTCACGTCCGTAAGAGAGGTGATCCAGTCTGCAATTGTGGTAATGGTTTGCTTGTGGTACTTGTTTTGATGGTTCTAGGTGCGTCATGTTACGAGTGCCTTCGCATGGATCGTGCTTATGCCGACTTACCTTTAGGTTGCCTCGGGTCGTGAAGCACTTGTTGCAGTCGTCAAGCTTGCATACGAATGGCTTTATCTTGCTGTGTGTAGCTTTGTGTGCCGCCAGGTTACCGCGTTGGGCAAAGCGGGTCCCGCACTCCTCGCACTGGAAGGGCCGTTCGCCCGTGTGAAGGCGGGTGTGTGTCTTGAGATTTCCAGGCTGGGAAAACTGGCCTCCGCATCCAGGCCACTCGCATTTCTAACACATGTAAGCACACGCCGCTGGTAGGACGAGGGGGAACATTTACATATGGCTTTTCGCCATTATGGGCACGCTTATGGGTTTCCAAATGCGTGCTCTGCCGGAAGCTTTTGGAGCAGCCTTCGTAGGGACACCTGTACTTCTTTTCGTCGTAGGTGACATCCTGACTACACGTGGAAGGCTGGAAGAACGTTAGTCCCTGTCAATCTCGGAGTGTTGGTGGGAATATACCGCTTGAGGCGTCGATGGTTCGGACTTGACGCTGTAGGCGCCGGCCTTGGAAGAGCTGCTGGCGACGTCGTCCTTCTTCTGGAGGGCCCTCATCATGACATCAACCGGGGTATGGAAGACGACATCATCTCCATTGCTGGGCTTGATGTAGGAGATGGTTTTCTTTCTCGCAGGGTCTGGCAAAGTAGTCTGTCGTTGGCGCTGGTGGCCTTCGGTGTGCTGTTCAGGAATCGGAGGTGCCATTGGGGGGAGAGGCTGCGGAAGGTCTGGCCAGGGCATAGCCATAGGGTCTGTAGGCCGGCCATACCGATCATAGGGGCCATGGACCTGGGAGCGGAAGTAAGGTATGTCCAAGGGCGCTGCAGCGTAGGGCGCCATCATAGAGTGAGAGGTAGGGAAACCAGAGGGGACAATGTCACTCCAAACATATCGATCTGCCTGGTAATCGTTCGGCATCGTGGCCGGCGTATACTGAAAGAAGGCCTCTTGCTCCATCGTGGGATGCTGTGACCAACCAGCCTGGGTGTAAAAGGTACTGATAACTGAAGTGCAAGGTAGAACCACGAACAGCTCTCGGGAGACCATTCTTCCGATGTGGTTGCCAATGTCAACGCATGTGCAGGGCACCCATTGTTTTATGAGAATGAGCACTGATGTTGACTTGCACAGGCCAACTCGGCGCTCAGCAACAGACAGGCGCTCCCCGTCGGAGAAGAAATGTCCCTGGCCTGGAAGAGGGTGTCCAGCGCACGGCTGTGCCGGTCAATGTGATCGGCCTTCCGCCACACCCCCATCCCGCCCCCCTAAACGTTTCTTTTGCTACAGGAGAGCTGAGCTGACAAGGTGCAGTTGGCTCTTTTCGGAATAACCAGCGCCGCACCTTGACCTCGCACTGCCGCTGGGTGTTGCATGGTTGGAGCACCCAAGTAGGAAAGCCGATTGAAGTTCACTCGACGTCAGCGGGAATGGTAGAGAGGACCAACTAGCCTGAGCGCTGCGCATATAGAATGGTTGTTTCCCGCCTCGTCCTTTCAGTCACTTGCTTGTTGCCCTATAGCTCCCCCTTCCGCCTCTGCAAAGATGTTCCCCCCTACGCCTCCGTCGACTGGCCCAACAGTCGCCTCTGACGGTCTCTTCCGGTTATCGAGACGGCCACCGACACCTTCGTTCAATGCAAGCCCAACGGGTCCACGATCACCCACGCCAGAACCTGAAGTCTATTCGGCTGCCGAGGCGATCGCAGAGAGCACCGCTTGGGAGGAGGAAAGTCGTCCCCTGTACCAGACGAAACTGATGGAAGTCCCCGCAGAAGATGAACCTCATTCTGCTCTACGACAGCTGGTCAACCACCATGCCCAGCGCCTTTCGCTTCGCGTGGTGGTTCACAACTGGCTCAACAGCCTCGATGACGACAGTTCGCAGCATGTCGAACTTCTCTCTCACCCTCGGCTTATTTTGGAAGCGGGCAAACTCGAAAAAACAATCCATGTAAGTGCTGCTTACCCGGTCCAGAGGCAATCCTAATCAGCCTAGTCTGCTGGGCTGGATGTTCAGGCTAGATTTGAACACTTTCGGCAATCATTGGGAGAAGACCTGCATTGGGTTCTTCACGGAGAACTGCCACCAAGCTCTCCGATCGAAGCTCAATGTGACGTCTCGCTTTGCGGGCACCTTTTGAACTTTGCTGGTGGACCAAAATGCTCTGTGCCGCATCCCGAGCTCAAGGAGGAAGAGCTGTCCTCGTTTCGGGATGCTTGCGGAAGAGGCTATGAGGCAACTCGAGTAGAAGAAGGTGGGGGGCCGGTCGACAGGGTGACGTTTACCTAGATCAATCCTTTTCGTCTTATTACTTTGACATTAACAATAGAGGTTGCCCTGAGGAACTGTGCTGAAATTCTCGATGATTCTCCAACTAACAACCGGCATTTCTCATGCAGACGACGGGTCACCTTCCACGAGGGGAGAACAGAGTATGAATAGCGAATTGGACCTGGCCAAGTCGTGCAACGTACGCCCCTGTCCTAATTGCCTACCAACCACCCTTGCCAAAACGAAGGCTAATGAATACTACCTCTGGCATGGGCTCCACCGGCCGTACCTACCAGGAAGACTGCCCTGGTGTAGAATGCCCAGGTGGAAGAGAACAACTCGAACATCTTCGATCAGTAGAGGCACAGCCTAGGCGAGGTGGGCCTCTTTCAAACCTTGGCGGTCTTGTGGATGCCAGTAAAGTACTCGAGCAGGCCACGCTCTTCGGATGAGAGTGTGTTGACGTCTGTGAGGGAGGCGGCCAAGTCTGTAAGCCTGATGATTGTTTGCTTGTGGTGCTTAATTTGGTGTTTCTACGTACATAAAGTTAGGCGGGTCGTAATGTACAGGAAATATGGCTAACCTTGAGGCTACCTCGGGCATTGAAGCCCCTGTTACAGCGGTCAAGCACACAAGGAAAGGGCTTCGCTATGTTGTGTGTGTCCCAATGCGATGTTAGGGCCCTGCTGCTGATGAAATCATCTCCACAAACTTTACACTTAAAGGAGCGTTCGTAAGTATGGCGACGACGAGTATGCGTCTGGACAGTGATTGTTGATCTTCAAATCTCAAGTGAACCTCGGGCTGCTGGCTTACCTTGAGATTCGAAGCCTGGGAGCTTTGATAGTCGCATCCAGGCCACAGACATACCTAGTGCTCATTAGGACAGGCCGCGGCTAAGTCAAACAGCGAACCTACGTAAGGCTTGTCACCGCTGTGGGTAAGCTTGTGGTCTTCCAAATGGGATTTGTGCCTAAAGGTTTTCGAGCAATCGTCGTAGACACAACTGAACCTCTTTGCCTTAACTAAGCGAGGAGGTCCAGGTTTCACAGGGTCTGTTATTCTGGTGGGAAGGTTTCGGTACTCTTGCTGAAGGCCTGTGCCGGAGAAAGCCATGCTGTTCGCCGGTTGACCACGCTGCTCACAGGAGTGATGAACGACGGAAGGGAAGTGAGGGTTCGTGTAAGACACCGGTGATAAACTGAAGGGTGGTGTCGTCATGTAGTGAGCGGTAGCGAGCTGACCAGTGACTCCAACGTTGCTCGGAGCATGTAGATCTGACTGTTGATCATTCGGCATCGTGCCTGGCGCATACTGAAGCAAGGTAAATGGTTTGGTTGTTGATTGCTGGGACCAATGACTTAGGAAGGGGAAAGTCGTCGTGAGCAAGCTCTGTTGTGGGGCCTCAACGAAGAAGAGTCAGGCAGAACATGAAGAGCTTGGGGGAAGGGGAGGGGGGCAACTTTTCGAGGTGCCAAAGGCCAACGCTGAAGGGGAAACGAGGGTGATTAGGTTTGCGCACCTCCATATGTACAGGATGAGACTTGACTTTTGGTTCGCACCGGCTAACATGGCAGGCTTAGCAACAGACACACCTCATCAAGGAGAAGAAAATCCTCGGACCCATTGAAAGCCGGTTCCTTCTTTATTTCTGGAGGTGTCAATACCTGGGGTGGTGGTCACAGCTACATGCACCTTGCCCAGGACTCTCGGCAACATGCCCTGTCGTCGGTTGGGTGCCACTCCTCAGTGCTCGGCGACAGGCACCTTCCAGCGGCACACTAACATGAGTATCGGCATGACTGAAGCTGAGGCCCTCGGCTGATTTGGAGAGTGTGGCTTGGAATGACAGACAGATACGAGCGCCATCCTAACGCCATGTACATGTACCAAGCCAAGATAGAGTAAGCCTGGCACCGTGGGAAACTAACCCCGCCGAGCGAGGTGGTGTTGAGATGTGAGATATGTCCCCCATCCAGAGAGCAAAGGGGTTAGTAAGTACCCTTTACAGGCGTGCATGATCACGCGGTTTAGGTTCCGTGCGTACTGCTGAGCGGCACTCTACCTGACTGGTGCACATGCACAAGACCGGGTTGTGTGTCTTGAAGCAGGGGAGGGGGGCAGGACTACTATCATTTATGAGGGCTCGAAATCATATTCCCACGCCCCTACCAACCCCCAAGGTTGATCATTGGAGCACCTGACATTTTCCTCACCTTGGTCTTCATGATCAGGGCCCCGCCTTCGATAAGCCCCGCCTTCGATAAGCCCCGCCTTTCGACAATCCCCACCTTCACACGCCCCATGGGATTTCCTTATGATCAAGGACCTTCCCACTCTGCTTTTAGCCGTCGAGTCACCAGCGGGCTGCAAAAAGGCTCGTGCCTTAGCATATCCCCCCTTCGAAATGTCTGACGAATCCATACATCAGCCGGCAGCTCAATCGTTCACCAAAGGGCAACATAAATTGTCCTTCCATCAGAAGTGCGGGCGCTGCAAAGTTGTGTATCGGTACAAGCATACGTGTACGAGGAAGAGTAGCCAAAAGAGCAGTTTGCTGAAAGTGTTGGACGAAGATGCGCTTCATCTGTTGCAGCTAATAGCTCATCTAGGTGGTAGCATTCCTAGAAGATTTTTGGACCGACTGAGGGCAAACAAGCTGATCTGGGGTAGTGACGGCAATATTGCATGCGAAGAATCACTTGCGATTGCAGTTGTCGCTGATGAAACACGTTGTCGGCAAGCTATCCACATTCTCCAGGACAAGGGTATCGTCCAACAATCGGAGTCAGACCTCTGCCTTGCTCCTGGAATGCAAGACTGTATCTTGACATCAACACCAGACTCGGAGAAGTGGCGATCGATGGCCCTAATGGCTGTTCTTCATGTCTTCCCCGAGCACCGCCAGCTCGAACCTACGAAGTAGGCTTGCTCTGCCATAAGCTCTCTTTGTCTTTTTGCTGACTCTTCTGGTACAGCTTTTCTGCGATCATTCTTGAATTTATATCCCAGTTCCAGCATGTTCTTCCCCACCTCCGCAAACGTCGGATCTCTAGGGACTTCACCTACCCTCAAACCCTTCGGGCCATCAACGTCTCACTGTCGGCATCATATTTCCTTAACGTGGAATGGAAGAAAAGCATTCTCGACGCCGCTCAGGAGGTGCTGGAGCCACATGATTCCAGCTTTGCAGGCCTCAATCCCAACCTGGCAAGATTAAACTTGAGGAGGATGGCGTTGGCGCGCATATCGCAGGAAGTCGATCCGCAGACGCAACTTCTGGAGATCCGTGCTACCATATGTCAGTTCCCGGCCACGAACAAGCAAACGAATGCCTACCTCGGGGAGATGTACCTTTTCGAAGCACGTCTCCTGGTCGACCTCCAACGATTTGAAGAGGCGCGATTTGCATTGAATCAGTTTGTCCCAAGAGACCCTGATGATGTCTCAGAACTTGAACGAATTCAACAGCACGACATCGCTTATCTCCAGGGCGAGATTGCTCGTTACGAAGGAAAGTTCGGAGACGCTTATGCTTGCTTTTTGAAGTTGCTTAGTTGGATACCCAGTCCTCCCAAGCTCACCACTCAACACAGTGCCGTGGCTTGCGAGCTAGGGATGTTCGGGTTCGCTACCTCAACCCTTCTCGAAGACTTGAACTCGGCAAGAGCACCGAACTCTTCTACGGAAGGAAGGAATGTAAGCCGACTACAGCTTGCACTGGCAGAAGTTTATACGACGGAAGCCGCAAGTATAGCAACGCAGGGATTTCAGAGCAATTGCGATAATGAAGTACCGACCCAGGTGGTTCGATTGACGGGGAAAGCCAAGGATTTGCTGGGCCATCTCTGGCAAAAGTTTGGGGACAAAAGAGGTTTGAAGAAGGTTGGATTGATTAACAGGTTCAGGGTCATGGTGGCATTTGCGATGGTGGAACATCTTACTGGAGATCCTAGTCATGCCATTGAGCTTTGGGATCAAGCGCAGACCTTCTCAAGGGAGATGTGGCCGGAAGGTTACTCAGACGCTATCATCAAGTATTCCAAGTCGGATCTGATGTATCGTCAGAGGAACTACACGGAAGCCAGGAGTCTTGAGGATTTCGCAATTCTGTTGTGTCGCAACACAGGTCGTCGCTTCCACATCACTGGGCTTGGAACGGTCTGGCCTGCATACGTCGGTGCTTCATTAGCCATCTGCTTCAGGAGACGGCGTCTTCCCTGGTAACCCATTTTCCTCGTCACACACCTACTATTCAGTCTCGTAGTGTTGCTAAAGCTTCGCCAACCAGATAGGTCGACCCCGTGATGAGAATCTGGGATCCCTGGAATCGCCTTTTTTCCACTTTCGCAACAGCGGCCTTGAAGCTCGAACTGCACTCGATCTGTGTCTGAGGTTGGATCCCTCGCCAATAGGCCGCGTCCTCATCCACCGTTGACTCATAGACCGGAACACCTATACATTGTTAGGTGATGACTGACGAGCCGGAGCTCACGTACCGTAACGCTTGTAAGGCGAGAGCAAGATGAGGTCGAAATAAAGCTCAAGCTGCTCGCAAACCCTTGCAATCGTAGATATGAGATCCTGCGTATCACGCGCTGATTCGTGCCCGAAGATAAGGATTCGTTTGCTAGCATGGCTGCAGCCTATACTTGACGTAACCTCCGATCGAAACCATTCTAGAGCAATTGGGAGGCTGAGACAGTTGTGCGCGATATCGAGATACCAGTCTGTGGTGCCCTTTCGAATTCTTTGAAACCGTCCTGGCCAGTCACACTGGAGCGTGCCATCCAGAACATCCCCCTCATCCAACTCATCGTCACGCCGGCGAAGGAAGGCGTTAACTAGCTCAATTGCCAAGGATGCATTCTGCTTTTGCACTGCAAGCCGCAGTTTGGGGTGGTCCGGCAGCCGCTCGCCAACTTCGACAAATTGCAGAGGACAGCCAAGTTTCATTGCTTCGTCTTCCAGGACCTCCCTTGCCACGGCTTCGGGTTGCACAACAGAGTATGCCGGTGTGCCGCGCTTCATGATCCCGCTCTTGTGCCCTGCGATGCTTTGGATTGTGTTCCCAAGGAGGTCGGCATGGTCTAGGCCGATTGTTGTGAAGCCGCAAGCGACGGGTTGCTTGAAGATATTCGTAGCATCCTTACGTCCTCCGGCATGAACCTCGTAGATCGCCATGTCCACGGCTTCTTTCTTGAAGACATGTACGGATAGCAGAAAGAGAAGTTGTAGGTACCCCGGCATTTGCGTGTCGTCGCCAATGTTCTTGTATAGTGCATCCCAAACTTCGAAGAAATATTGCGTAAACAGTTGCTCCGAGATTGGCTCTGAGTTGATACGTATGCGTTCTCTTTCCGTTATGAGGTGAGGAGATGTGTAGAGCCCAACCGAAAAGGGGCGGGATTGGTGTTGAAAGTGCGTCCGAATGAGGCAGTCTGCCAGGGCAGCTGTGCTGCCCTTCCCTTTGGTACCGGTGATATGGATCACGTCAAGTGAATCAATGTCCTGATGCCTTTAGAATAGCGGTCGCGTGTTGTTCGTCCACCTACCTGATGTCCAAGCTCAAGGAGCCACTCCTTCATGTTCAAGTTGTTTGGGTGGTTCTTGGTCGGTGGTTTCGGGTTTTGCCTCGCTAGCCATTGTTTGGATCGACGGCGGAGGAGATCAATGGCGCTCTATAGACTTGCTTAGCTGTTGTCTAGTAGCCGAACGGAGGTCATGCAAGTACCTGATAGTTTCTGTTCATTGTCGTCGCAATGCATACGGGGCTCAAAGTCGCGCATCGTCAACGGAGCAATTGATGTTGTCGCGCTTCGGGCCGCTGACGATCAGGTTAGGCAAGTTGCTAGTCGGCATGTCACGTGCTTTGGGAACAGTTGTCAAGAATATGATGACGCCATGATTATGTCATCAGACCTTTGGTCTCGGGGCTCAGGTCGTCACAGAAGCGGCGGAAAGGGGGGAACTTCAATGAGCCAAGCAAGAGCTGAGGTAATCCGCGAGACGCTGATCTTCTTATTGAAAAACTCATATACAATAAGCGCGGCTATTCTTTCAACAGGCACACCTTGTGTTCTGGTGGTCAGGTGAACGGACTGTGAAGACGACTGCAGGTCTAGCGTTGTGGCTGGCCGCTAAGTAACGACCCTGGCAGGGGCAAGGGGTGGCTCTAAGAAGGGTCCGTGATCCTAAGAGGATCACCAACCAATGGTGGGATACTCTCCCAAATAGGAAGTTTATTTTGCGACTTGCATGACTTGGGGCCGACCGATACGTGATATCAGTTTGATGTATCATCTGGCAGGGAACTACTTAAAGACATGGCTGATCTACCTAAATAGGAAGTTTATTTTGCGACTTGCATGACTAGAGGCCGACCTGATCAGTTTGATGTATCATCTGGCAGAGAGCTTGAAGACATGGCTGGTCTACCCAAATAGGAAAGTTTTTTTGCTGCTTGCATGGTCAGGGACCTTAGTGCCAAAATGATGTTTCATTTGGCATGGAACTCCTTGCAGAAGTGGTTCGTCCACCTAATTGGGAAAGTCTTTTTGCTGCTTGCATGCTCAGGAACTGCGGCAGCGCAAAGCCGCTGAAATCATCATCAGACCACTGCTAACAGGCGCAGCTCGGCTACCAAACAGGAAAGGCTTTTTGTGACTTGGGCCGTGGCTTGTATGATGTACTCTTTCGGTACAAAGCTCTTGCATCCTCACGCCCCCCTGAACAGAATAGATACACACTGGAGTCGCTGGTACGTCCTGGTAGATCGTCACGCACAGCGGATGACTTTGTCTATCCCTGGCCTGAACCGACTTGTCCGTTGGAGCAATGTCCTCCGAGACAATGGGAAGTAACCCCGACATTTGCCTTTGGAAAAGACATCCAATATTGCATCACCATCATGTCGGCGCTGAGCCATGGCATGCATGATTTATTGGGCAGCCTCGCCATCACCGGCGAGCATCCACTTCGTCTCCCTCACTCTCTCCCGCACGAGGCTCTTGCACCCTCAGACCCCCCTGAACAAAGTACGTACACACTGGTGTCGCTGGAAGTCCTGCTAACCATTGCAAGGCTCGAGACCATGTGCCAATGGATCATGAGGGAATTTAGCTGCGGCGGCCAGCGAAAGATTGCGGGCAAATGGTGTGGTAAATATCGGAGAACTCACCACAGGTGCCCTCCGACGTATGTCAAGTTTGAGTTCCGAGGGAACGAGGTATGCCCTGATTGCAAGCCTGTGATGTCAACGTCTTGGGATCACATGGTCCAGTGGGGTCGTTGTCGGCAAGGTTCTCGAGTGCGATGTTCTGTTAAGTCTTTGTAGTCGTGCTCTGATTCGACCGATCATTATTGTTTCTTGGAGCTACCTTTTCATCGTATCAAGCCGCAGATCAAGGACGTCCAGACTGCTTCGATCGCCAGGGGCTGGTCTCGAATCCGTGATGGTGTGCGGCAGCGCGCACGAATCTCAGCTACCCCATCACACCGGCCTGGGCGCCCGTTTTCCACCGAGACATCCAGGGATTCGTACCCACGGGCCGGTCAGCGGGGCCCCAGACCCTCCAGAGATATAACTGCAGGACCCATGCATACCATGGGTGGTTGCCTTCCTGCAAGAGATCGCAAATCGTGCGCGAACCAGATCATCAGCATGGCCATCGCTCGGAAAAGGAGACTCGCCGGCAAGAGAAGGCGTTGCAATCCCTCGCCCAAACAGTCTCTCAAACCTTTGCGTCATACCTCGTGGAGAAAAGCAGGCCCTTCGGAAGCCCAAAGGCTCGTTATCATGCTCCTCGAGTATTGGGGTGTTCCGGAAAACGAATCCAGAGGCCTGGCAAAGCGTTGCATCAAACTTCTCCAACGCCGAGATTCTCACCAAAAATGGCTCAACAGGTTTCAGAGGGTGCTGGAGTTGAACCTCCAGTCTAGCCAGGAGCGAATGGTGTGGATGGATCTCCGGGTCCGCGTGAGGCACCTACACCGGCTACTCGACGGCGTTGGTGAATGTATGGAACTGGAAGAAGCAATAGTGAGTTTACTGTCGGTGACCCAGTTCTTGGCTGACTGGAACAGTTGGATCTCTGGAGGGCAATAGGCTTGTTGCCCATGGAGCCTGAGAGCGCGATCATTGTGCAGGCGACGAAAAACTCGAAGATCTTGCGAAGAGTACTCAATTTGTCTGCGGCTGGTCTATGGGAAGAAAGTGAAGAGGTAACACTAACACGGTTCCAATGGGTGAGGCGGTGGGAGGAATACATCACGCGGGCGGAGACAGAGGAGGAGCTGGTCGTATCTCATTCCACTCTTGTATAGCACCATACACTCTGTATTCGTTTTAATGCACGTCGTGCCAATATGCAAGTGTTGCGCACGTAACTGCGACCTCCTACCTTCGGACGCGGGATGCTGCCACATGCAGACGGACCTATGTGCTGCCGTCGTAACGCCTTTCGTCGGTGAGCTAAAAAGGGAGCACCCCCGGCCAAGGCCCTGGTGGTCCGCGGACGACATGGTTGCCTCATGGATTCTTCAGCAAACGAAACTGACCCTCTACTAGCGAGGCAGGTGGAGCACAGCCGCCAGCTGACTTGGGTGAAGGCGCCGGCTCTGGTTCGTTTCTTGCTGGCTCTCACCATCTGCATTACAGGCCATTTCCTCCCTTTTGCCCTCCGACGTTACACATCAATCGACGAGGTCTGGGACAAGATCGTTACCATTGCTATTCCTCACTTCTTGGAGCTTGTGTGGGATCATGAAGTTCAGCCTTGCTTGGACTCAATGTCCTTTGAGGCCCTGAAGAAGATGGCCGGCCCTGCGGAAAAAACACGGCGAGGCATCAGAAAGTCCGACGCGCCCAACGCCTTCCTCAAGAGCTGTCTGCTGAAAGCGCCGTCGATCATTGCGATGAGCGCGATGAACCTTGAAAAGCAGATGGGGCTTCTGTATGCTGTACTAGCTAGCACTTTCGTCGCTGCGGTGCTCGCCTCCGGGTTCTACTTGGTCTTCTCTCCGCGCGCCGTATGTACCCAAGGTGCCAAAGAAATGAGGGACGATGCAACGTACGCACATACCACTCATTCGCTCACAGTCAACTGACACCGAGAAGGGAAGCAGGCGACCCTGGTGCGGAAGCGATGCAGGACGCCTTCACAGCCTTCCAGGCGCGCACGGCGGTATGGCGTTTCGCTTGGGGAGGATGTCAAGTGCTCGGGTTCGGGCTATTGCTGCCGCACATGGGCGACCACAACCTTGCCTTCACCTTTGGTCGCGAGCTGTCGGGATTTCAAGCAACGTGCGAGAAGATGATGCAGAATTTCCACAGAGCCTGCAAGATCTGGAGAGCCATGCTCGCGAGGGGCTTCTGGTACACTGCTGCAACTGGTGCTGGAAAGGCTCAGGCGGCGCGACACCCCCGCATGCCGTGGGTTTCTCAAGCTACGGTGCTGTACAACACGAGTGCTAACGTAGTACAGAGACGAAGAGCAACCGGTGTGGTCAGCGACAGACACTTCAATCACAATCGAGACCTCGACGAAGAGCCTCGGAGCTAGTCCATCGTTGTGGCATGCGGGCTCAAGTGTGCATTCCTGGCGCGCCTACTTCGACAGAATGACGAGATTTCGGCTGCCACGGTACTGCCGTCAAGGTGTCCCAGCTTCTCCGATGGTGATTTGGAAATGCGGATGCGGGGTGCAGCGCGAGTTATCCCCGGCCATGCGTTCAAGCTCTTGTAATCGTTGCGGCGCTAAGGCTGCATGGTCAGGGCCAGGTCAGTCCGCGGCGAGGTTTCCACGATCGACTATCCAGCTCCAGCTAACAGCCGAACGCAGACGTGAGCCGAACGATGCTTGCTCCCGGTCAAGCCTCTCGAACCTCCAGGCACCGATTCCGTAGCCGAGATCCTTCACGAATAGGCAACACGCCGGTGCACCTCGTGAGAGACCTGGCGATGGCGTCTCTGATGCTGGCTTTGATTGCTAGGCAGCATACACCCGTGGAGGCTGAAGGAAGGTCGCCGAGGCTTCAGTATACTACTTATGAGGGGAGAGATGTCGGCGTCGCCGAGTCCTCGGCCGCCTGCACCGGGCGGTCGGCCCAGCCGGCGTCGGCGCGAATCCTCCGAGGCGGAAAGTAGGGCGGCTGTACGGAGCGTGCGGGGCCGCGTGGGCCAGGTGCAGTCCCCCTGTAGCTCGCTTCCTTAACAAGACATGCAATATGTACAGTCCAGTCGCGATGGTGCACTACGCGTCCGTGTTTCAAGCTTGCACAACACGATCTCGCGCGTGCACGTCCCTGGTGCTGAGCATTTCCTGGCCCGGTGCATGGACATAATTCATGTGTGTGCTCTGAATAGACGTCCGTTGGCCGCGGCCCATTCTGGTGGATCACACCACAACCGTACCGCTGACTGTGAGGTCGACGTTAAATTGATCACGGAACTTGTTTGATATAGTGCTCCAGGTCATGCTTCGATCAACGCGAAAGTATACAATGAAGTCTATTTCATTGATAGTATATTTGTGGTGCTGCCGTGTCGGGTGATATGGAAGGCCGTTGCTTGGGAGGGATGCGGACCCTGATGTGGGGCCCGCGAGGTTGCTATTCGGCGGGAAAGCTTTTGCGAGGTTGAGCTCAGGCAGTCGTGGTAGTGATGCCTGGGTTGCATTCCTGACAGCAGGAGGATGGAGGGAGCAGAACTCTGGCCTCGGGAAATTCACGGCTGTCTTCGGCCTTGAGAACTCGGTGGAGGCGCAATAGACTCGATGCGCAGTGAAATGACAGCGGGCAGTCGAACCCAGCGAGTGCTCAGCAAAATAGCTCGAAACCCAGTCTGGCATCCCTCGCTAGAGGCGTCAGCATGGCGCAAGTTTCCCCATGCAGCCGAAGAGCTGCAGACCTTCCGCGGCTTGCACGCTAGCTGGCTTCCATGCCAGCCCAGCCCGGATCAATCCCGCGGTGACAACCTCTGCCAACGTGACGACAGCTTAGATGGTGCATGGAGTGGATCAAAGCCACGTTGCACTTTAGCTTCTCTTGTGACATGCCCGGAGCTCGCCTGCATGACGGTGGTCTCACGCTGAAGGTTGGCCACCAATAAGCTAGCTACCTTCAGACCGGTGAATTGTTCTTTTGCATTGATGTCGATCGGAGTAATGGCGTCTGCCACTAGCTTATCGGGGCGAAACAACCTGAGGGCCCGAGAACGCACGTAGAACAGACATCCTTGCATTGGCTCGAGAGCCGGCCATCAGCGGGCCCCTTGCAGACCAGCTGAGGGTAGCTTGGCAGTATGTTGCACTCTGGCTGCTGCAGCACCCTAGCCTTGGCCGATCCGCCATAAATAATGCCTAACCAAGGAGGTAAGCTGGTGTAAGCCCCTTGTTGGGGGGGTCGCCGGCCTGTTGGCGCCAAGACGAGGGTTGCTTCGTGGCAGACACCCGGTGAGCTGGGGACCATGGGCAGCGGCCATCCCTCTGTGTCTGGCTGCTGGGCGAAGCACTGTTTGACTGTGCTTGCCGTGGAGGTCCCGCCGCAGACATCCGGCTGGGAGCGCTCCCTAGAGACACCGCAGGCTTCTGACTGAACTGAAAACTAGACATGGGACTCATGGTGTCCGGCAGTCTCTTGGCTCCGAGATGTACCGCTGATACACAAAACCGTGGGACTTTAACTTGTTGCTTTCCCAAGCTTGATATCTCTCTCTGCAAGTGTACGATCCTACATGTAATATCACACCAACCCCAAGTTTGCGCACAAAAATACAGTGGAAGAGTCATGGGAATGGACCAGGACAGGTCGATTGGATGTTTGCTGCTTTTCTCCTTCTACTGCTGTCGGTAAGAGGTGCTAAGATGGGGCCGAGCCTACTAGAAGATTGGGCATGCTCATCGGATGCTTTGGTCACCGTGGCTGTTTTCGTGGCGGTCCCCGCGGCAGATATCGCGAGCTTTTCTCATAGTAGTGCTCGCATGCCTTTTGGTCTGCCAGCAATGCGGCATCCCGTTGCTTGATGCTCTCCCAGCCATTGCGGCAGGCCGCCTCCGTGAGGACCCACTCTCCGTTCACGGGCTTGAAAACATTCTGTGCCCCTAATCAGCTCTTGCTATTCCATGTGTAAAGGAGGCGAAAACTCACGAGGTTGAAGTTGAGACTGTATGATACGGTAGTTCTGCACGGGCGAGCTTTAGTATTGTCGGCAATCCAGTCGTTGATTTCCTTGACAGTCCTAGCGTGGCGAGGGGCATCCTTCAAAGCGTTGTAGATTTGATCTTTTATCGGCACCTGCTTCTTTTTGGGTAGAGATGGTTTGCGTTTCGCCGAGACAGAACTACGCAGACGTGGATGACGATTTGCTACGACTGAACTGCTGAAGTCATGCATCGTCTGTGTCGAAGACTGCTGGTGGTTCTGTTCGGTGCCAAAGAACCCCTCCGAGGGCGGGTAGGGGTAGTTGAGGTCGGGCACTGGGGCTGACGGAGAGAGAGTATTGATCCCATGAGTTGGCAAAAGATATTGATTCGCTACGGCTGGACTGCTGAAGTCATGTATCGTCTGTGTCGAATACTGATGGTGGTTCTGTTCGATGCCAAAGGCGACCTCGTGCTTCGTCTCTATCGAATACTGCTGGTGGTTCTGCTCGGTACCAAAGAAGCCCTCCGAGGGCGGGGAGGGGTAGTTGAGGTCGGGCATTGGGGCTGACGGAGAGAGAGCATTGATCCTATGAGTTGGCAAAAGATATTGATTCGCTACGGCTGGACTGCTGAAGTCATGCATCGTCTGTATCGAATACTGCTGGTGGTTCTGTTCGATGCCAAAGGCGACCTCGTGCTTCGTCTCTGTCGAATACTGCTGGTGGTTCTGTTCGGTACCAAAGAAGCCCTCCGAGGGCAGGGAGGGGTAGTTGAGGTCGGGCATTGGGAAAGAACCGACGACGATATAGGGTAAAGTATCTCGAATGAATGCGTTGATGAACCTCCGCGCGATGAGACTGTCAGGTTTGAAAGAAAGAGTGAGATAGCTAGAGGAGTGGTTAGAGACAAGTGATGCCCAACAACAGAGTAGACACTGGCAGTCCTGTTAACCGGGCGCTTACGAGCCCTGGCATTTTTACCTCAGCGACCCTCAGGGGCTCTTGGCCAGCCGGTCCACATCCGCGACCTGCTCACGCACACGCTATCACCGGCTGAGCCTGATGCGAGATCACCGCGCCACCTGCCCCTTCTGATGCATGGGAGCAGATGGTCTGGCCCGCTCAGCAGCGTTGCTTTTCGACGTGCACACCCTGGTTGTGGATTCAGCTTGGTCGTTGTCCTTGGAGCCTTGTCTACGGCCTGTGGTTGCGCTACGGATGCTCCGCGGCAAACCCCCCTCCGGCCAGGGGCCATGGCTTGCAGGATGGCAGACCGCGCACCCACCCTTTGCTTCCTTGAGGGGGTGCTGGACCTGGCCGATGCTGCCCAGAGATGAGGTTGACAGGGTCCTGCGCCCAGGCACGAGTGAGGTAGGCCCCGTTCCGAGCCTGGAGGTGGACCTTGGGGTCGTCGCTCGCTGTTGAAATAGCACGACTGCTTTGGCCGAAAAAGTCGTGATGTATGGAGCAACGTCGACAACCTTCATCCCCTCAGTGTACCTTCCCTTGAACGACTTCTCGCGACTCGAATCAATCTTCGATTATGGACGGCATCCGGCACGCACAGGTTCTCCGCGCGTTGTTGAGGGTGTTGGTCGCGTTGGAAAGCCCCACGTCGACTTGGCAACTGGTCGAGCCCTTCTACCTCGAATTATTGGAATGCGCCTACGAAACGAGTCTTCCTCTTGAGGCCCCTGTCGGGCGGGCTCTGAGGGAACCCCTGACGTTCAACACCGAGGAAGATGTCCAAAATCTCATCATATCACTCGAGATGGCCTTTCGACTGCAATTGAGCCAAATACCAACCGACACTGCGACGCTCGATGCCCATCAACTGGCAGACTTTGTGCTTGGCTATCGCCTCGTCCACCTCGACCCTCAGGTTTACGAAACAGATGCGAAGTGCTCTAATTCTTCCACTTGTCGCAAGCTCGCCGTCGGCATGTTGCGGATCTGTAAGAGGACCCATTCCACAACCTGGGACAAAACTAACAATCAAAAGTCGTGTCAATGGGGAAGCCATCCCGCTCGATGCTCGATCGATGGAGATGGGTTCTCACATCTCTCGGAGTGCCTTTCAATGACAAAAATCCGAAGCATTATAGAGTTTTCGACAATAAACAAGCCGACATTACGAAGGACTTTGGACAGTTGTACAGAACGAGTACGGATGATGATGGGGAAGCACTGGCCTACCGCAGCATGATCGACCACTATCTCTAGACCTGTCTGTGCCTTCATGCCTTTCAAAATACACAATCGTTGATACTCCACCTGGATCTTGGTATCTTGCTTGCCTTGAGTTGGCGACCTGCCTCTCGCATCCGTGACACCGAAGGCGCGTCGGCGGGTCCAGTGCTTGCCAGAGTGCCTCCTGTTCGAAATACAGCGACAGGACCACCAGCTGATGGCAACGCGGTCCCCATTAGAGTGGAGAAGTCGAAGCACAAGGCTACCACCATAGATTGCAACTCGGAATGACCATAACTCGAGCCTACACACAAGAAGCCAAAGGGTACGGAACTGCCGACCGTTGGCGGCTGGGAAGGCCCTCCGAGACAGCCCCTAAAGCCAAGGACCCAGCGAAAGATGACAGTGAGCCCACCAGCCTGCAGCCCCTGAAGCATAGTGCTTTTGACCCCTGAAAATCACCTGCGAACGACACGAGATTTCCCATCATCTCTCTTTCCACACCCCGAGCCAGACCTCGTCTGCACAATCACAGTTTCCCCGCTGACTGTAACCGGGAAGTCACTCGCAGTAACGGCTTCTCCATTGACGGTGACAGTGGACTCGTTGAAAGGGACAAGCAGGGGCTCGGGCAGGTACACCAAACCGCCCTCCGGTCCAGTGACGTTCATCCGCACCAGGCCAGCATCGTCAAATGCCCAAGAGACGGTGATATCGCCCCTCTCCGTGTGCTGTCTGCCCTTGGCATACTCCAGCCCGAGGCTCATCGGCCTGACCTCCCACTCAGCGAAGCCGGGCTTCGTAGGTCTCACACCCAGCACGAACCTGCTGAGTTCGGCTGTAGGACCAGCAGCCCACCCGTGACACAGTGAGGTGCCGATTCCCAGGCCGGGTGTGCCGTCCGGGTCAAGTGTCTCCCAGAAGCTGTTCGTGTAATTGACATGCGCAGGATTCGCCATGGGAGCCCAGAGCCTCTTCATCAGCTCCACGGCACCAGCTGCGTCGCCTGCCTCAAACGCCGCACGGAGATGGTACGATGATGCGTACGGGCTAATCTTCCGGGCAAAGCCAGCTGCGGCCGTCGAGTTGGAGAAGGCCAGAGGTCCGGCGGGGAGGAGGAGCTCGCGCTGCATGGTAGCGAGGATGCTTGTCCCAGAGACGTTGTTGGCTTGGGGGATACCGGCGAGGATGGCAATGGCCTGCGCATCCTGAGCGAAGCCTCCGCGGATCTCAGAGCTGAGAACGTACGCGCCAAGGGAGGCGTCGAAGAGGCGGGTGTGGATGTCGCGGCGGAGACTGGCCAGACGGGCCTCGTAGACATCAGTCTGCACGCCGCCTGCTTGAAGGAAGCTCAGACACTGCTGCAGGGAGTAGGCGTAGACGGCGTTGAACTTGGAACTGGCGCCCGTTTGGGATGGGTCGTAGTAGTTCCAGTCGCCGGTCAGGGAGGCATCGTCGAGGGTGAAGACGCCATCTTTGGTCTGAGAGTCTGCCCAGTCGAGCATTCGGACGACAGCGGGCGCCCACTTCTTCGCAAAGGCCACATCTCCAGTAACCATGTAATTCTGGGCGAGGGCCGTGGCAAGGTTGAAGGAATAGCCGATAAGGCCAGTGGCATTTACTGGGATGATCTCCGGCAGCGGGCCTTGTTGGATCTTGGCTGTCGGGCTGAAGAAGCCGGGCGTCATTTGGAAGGAAGCCAGGAGATCCAGGGAGCCTTGGGCAAAGGAAAGGCCGTAGGTGCTGGCGAACGTGGCTGCGAGGGCAATGTCGAGGTCTCCGTTGTAGGCGATCCTGTCTCTGCGTGAGCCGTCGACGATGGTGTCGGCTGGGTTGGCGCCCATGAGGAAATCATCCAGGAAGCCGCGATCGGTCAGTGTCGATGAATAGATGGGGCCACCTGAAGGGTCCGTCGCGACGAGGTTGCGGAAGTAAGCCGAGTGGGCAAAGGGGGTACCCAAGCCGAATGAGCCGAAGACGCGTTGGTCTTGGGAGAAGGAGAGAATTGTTGCGTTGCCAATGGAGACCTGGATGTCACTCATCGCAACTGTGGCGCTGACAGAGAGCCAAGTTTCAAGAGGAGGAGAGATGGCCAGATCCGCTGATGCAATGACAGCACGCTCAAGGATGGCCTCCACTCTGCCGGTGGTGAAGTCGCAGATGATGTCGATGCCATTGCTCAACGTATCTTGGAGAACCGCGAGCGTAAATGCGCCAGTGACAGGCTTGACCTCGAACGAGACGTGATATTCGACAAGGCTACTGCCAGCATCAAGGGGCTGAGCAGCGAGGCTCTCGACAAGTGAGCCTTCTTCGCTGACCACCCAGAAATCGGGGATGGTGTTCTTGAGGATCTCGGTGAGCTGGGCAGTGCGAGCACCAGTGTGCCAGATGCGTGTAAGGTCCTCGTCGGAGCATTCAAAAGCTCCGGGGAGTTCAGTCAAGGGCGTAGTGTCGACTGTCTGCTTGACGCCGACGTTCTGAAGAACGAGTTGCCCGGCAGTCGAAAGGTTGAGTTTCTGGTAGCGGAAGGCGCCTTGAATGAGACGGCCCTCTTGGACTGAGGGCGTCGAGATGTTGTATCGCTTGATGCGGTGGGTTTCCATGGCTGCTGCCAAGGCCAAGGGGCCGTCGCTCTGCGGACTGGTTAGTGAAAACACCACAGACTTCGGCTTGGACAGTGACAGACCATGTACAAGTTCAGGGCGGCGGACGACTCGCCGTATGTGACCTCAAAGCGAGAGGTGTCTCCCGTCGCAGAGAGGACCTCAAAAGTCGGGTGGCCCTCGTAGCTCTGACCAAAGTCGAGGATCATGATGCCTGGGGTCTGGCCGTCGCTGGACAGGGTAACTGGGCCATCTGTGGCGTACTTGTAAAGAAGGGCATCATTGTCGGGAGAGAGGGACAGAGCCTGGGGAAGTGTGGCTGCATGAAGCAGAAAGGTTGTTAAGGAGAGAACGTGGAGCTTCATCGCGAAAGGTGGTGCAAGGGAAAATGAGCGAAGGTGAGTGATGCAGCTATGTCGTGAGCTAGACGTTGTTGACCTGTCGATGGACGATGGCCTTTATACGTCCTTTCTACACTTGAATTAAGATTCGATCCCTCATCCATAATCTTGTCCCCAAGAGGACGTTGCACTGGGTGGGATCGAGGCATGACGTGGCTGCGAGCTCGGGAGACGTACGAGCGGCGGACTCGGAGGCAACATGAATGAATGACCCATGATCGTGGCTCGCACCCACGACCGAGACCCGATGGTTCGGGGCGTTCCCGGCTCGGTACCTGCGGCAGTGGGACCAATGCCGAGCCCTGCATGACGGATTTGCATGGTCGATGGTAGCTTCACGGAGTTTACCTTTTCTCCTCTTCTCTTGGTTCTCGGCGTTGCCGCGATGGCCTCGGTGGAAAATTAGTACGGATATCTTCCCCGCCAGCTCCACACTACCCTGGCAAGGCAGACATTTAAGCTCCCTGATCCCCGCTAGTTTCAAGTTCTTAGCGCCCCCCGCCATCGTACAGCTCGCGAGCACGAACACGGTACGAGATCGACGGTGGAAGCCTGCTCCGAGGGGAACTTTGGTGAAAGGATGCATGGCGGTCAGCCGCACTGCCCCCCCGATGGATTTTGTGCACGCGTCAGCGATGCGTTTTGCGTCCAGGCAATGGTCAATTGATCATACAAATACCTGCATCGCATATTCACTGCCCGGCTCTGAGGCCATTGGCTCCTGAACTGAAGCACCTACAAGCACGGCACCTCGCAATGTCTACCCCCAAGCCCAAGCAGCCTCAAGATGGAGACGACTCGGACGGGATCAGCTGGGATCAGCCTGTCCCCTACGAAGTGCACTCCTCCGGCGACGTGCTGGCAAGCTCGGCTGCTGTCAACAGTCTGTTCGACCCCAATGTTCCTCGCCGAGAGATACTGACCATGGTGATGTCTAGGTCATGGCGGAATCGACATTGACTTCTCCTCCTCGCGCCCTGAGGAGCTGAAATCCCTCCTCCCACCATTCCCCTCTCCCAAGCAACTCGGCCAGCAATTGCCCCCTGACGCCGACCGGAAATGCCCCGCCTTGAACATCACCATCCAAGTCGTCGGAAGTCGCGGTGAGCCAGCAGCCTCAATCCCCTCTGTCAAGTCCCCGGACCCAAGACTAACTCCGAGTAGGCGATGTCCAGCCGTTCATCGCCCTGGGCACCGCCCTCCAGCGCTACGGCCACCGCGTCCGCCTCGCGACCCACGACAACTTTGCCGACTTTGTCCGCAGCTCCGGTCTCGAGTTCTACCCCATCGGCGGCGATCCCGAAGACCTGATGGCGTACATGGTCAAGAACCCTGGCCTCATCCCATCCATGGAGAGTCTGCGCGGGGGCGACATTGGCCGCAAGAGGCGTATGATGCACGACATGCTGAGGGGATGCTGGCAGTCTTGTGTCGAACCTGATCCTTTGTCGCGCCGACCGTTTGTCGCCGACGTCATCATCGCCAACCCGCCGAGTTTCGCCCATGTCCACTGCGCCGAGGCCCTTTGTGTGCCGCTGCACATCATGTTCACCATGCCTTGGTCCGCGACGCGATCGTTCCCGCATCCGTTGGCCAATGTCAATGGGGACAAGATGGACCCCAGGACATCCAACTATCTCAGCTATGGCGTCGTGGACCTCATGACATGGCAGGGGTATGTGCCATCCCAATGCATCTGATGACCATGTGCTGACCTTGCAAGTCTCGGAGATGTGATCAACGGGTGGAGGGTCAAGGACCTCAAGCTCGAGCCCCTGGCTGCAGCGGTTGGACCAGATGTCGTGAGCATCTTAAAGATCCCGCACACGTACTGCTGGTCGCCGGCACTGGTGCCGAAGCCAGCAGACTGGGGCGAGACGATAGGTGGGTGAACAGATCTATGGTGAAGATAGGAGCTGACAACATTTGCAGATATTTGCGGCTTCTTCATGCGCGATGAACCAGCTTACACCCCGCCGGCGGATTTACAGGCTTTCCTCGAGAACGGTCCAGAGCCGGTCTACATCGGGTTTGGAAGCATCGTCCTGGAAGACCCCGCTCGGGTGACAGAGGTTATCAAGGAGGCGTGCCAGCGCTTGGGGGTCAGGGCCATTGTTTCCCGAGGATGGAGCAAGCTGGGCGGCACAGACCCCAGCACAAAGGAGGTGTTTTACCTCGGAGACTGTCCTCATGGTAAGATCAAGTCTTTGGCTATCTAGTATTTAGCTAACACCTGCAGAATGGCTTTTCAAGAGGGTGGCGGCCGTTGTTCATCACGGCGGTGCTGGTACCACGGCCTGTGGTCTGATCAACGGACGGCCGACGACAATTGTCCCCTTCTTCGGAGAGTAAGTCAGCTCAAGGCATCTTCGTTGTTCTTTCTAACCTTATATTTTCAGCCAGCCGTTCTGGGCTAAGGTGGTTGCGTCCAACGGCGCCGGCCCCATGCCCCTGCCATATGCGAAGCTGTCTACAGATGCCCTGGCAGAGGCCATCGGATTTTGCCTCAGCCCTTCAGCAAAGGAAGCTGCACAGAAAATCGCAGCTCAGATGCGCCAGGAAAACGGTGTCCAGACTGCAGTCCAATCTCTGCACCGACATCTGCCCATCGACGAACTCCGCTGCCATCTACTTCCCGAGTTTACAGCACGATGGGCATACCTCGCGAAGTCGAAGAAGGCACAGCAGCCCCTTATCCGACTTTCCGACGAGGCACTTTCGGTCTTGATCAAGGCGAAGAAGCTCAAAATGTCGGATGTTCAGCCGTAAGTTGCATGTCCACGACAAGTTGATCGCTGCTGACGACACTAGCCTCCGCTGTAAGGAGTACCACGTCGAGAACGAACGATGGGACCCTTTGACCGCTGGCGCGTCAGCCACTCTGGGCATCGCCACGGATTTTACCTCGGCATTGGGAGGTATTTGGGTCGACCCGTTCAAGGAGGTCAGGCGAGTCAGGAGAGACAAAGAGTCCGGCGAATCCGCTGGCGCAGCTGCTGCCGTTGCCGTTGGCAAGGGCTTCGCGGGCGTGACTGGCGTCGTTGCCAAAGGAAGCCTCGTGGACTTTCCCCTTGCCATGACTGAAGGGCTGAGGAACACGCCGAAGCTACTAGGCGAGGACGTGCGGGACCACGGCAAGGTGACGGACGCGAAGACCGGAGGCGTCGTGGCGGCCAAGGTACAACCCCTCTCGACAAGTCCGAAGGATTTTCTAACATGGAGGCAGAACTTTGGCTACGGGATGTATGATGGCATCACAGGGCTTGTCACGCGACCGATGGAGGGGGCGAAGCAAGGCGGCACGATGGGTTTCCTGAAAGGCGTGGGCCAGGGATCTATAGGCTTCATTGCGAAGCCGGGCAGTGGTAAGTTTGAAGCTGCGATTGAAGTATGCAAGCTGATGACTTTGATAGCAATGTTTGGCTTGATGGCGTATCCCGCACAGGGCGTGTATAAGAGCATGAAGGGGGCGCAGAAAAACACGGTGGCAAAGGCAGTGGAAAGGGGGCGGTCTGAGATGTTGAGTGAGCTTTCGAAGGGGGGTTCTGGTGACTTTAGAGTTGTTGGTTTGTTTGAGAACATGGTTGGGAAGTAGATATCACGATAAATTCAGTCGATGGTAGACCAGATTTTGACTTCCATGTTTACGTCTTTAACAGGCCGAGTATGTGCTGGGGTCTTGTTATGGGCATGCCCTCAAATCAAGTAAATGGATGTATCGAGATGTTGCCCAATGGCAGACTTCCAATCATCCTGTTTCTCATCATATAAAACTTGACGTGGAAAGACTCGTATTGACTTGGCGGAACAACCCCCCGACAACGGGTACGGCGAACATCAAGGCCCGCCCTGATGCTCAGCATTCCCGATCATGACGAGCCCGCTTCGTACCTCGCGTTTGAAAAGCGGCAGCCTAAAGTGCCAAGGACTTCTCAATCATCTCAGACAAAACCAGACGCGTGTGTTTGTGGCTGTTCATGCCGGTACCTTGCCCATGGCATGCTTCGCTCCGGGCCCGAAGTCCGAAGACTAACGTCCCCCATCCGTCGTGAACTGGAATTCATGACGCTACTCTCTTCACAGACTAGTGTCCCGCTAGGCGCGGGACGAACGGGCCACCCTGCATTAGCGACAAGGTAAGGTCTCGCCCTCTTGGTCGTGCACAGCCCTATCTACAAGAACCCGAGCTCGGGGCGAGACCGAAGCCCCTCGAAAAGGAGGCGAAGGCTCGGTCAACCCGGAGATCAGCGCAGCAGGAAGTGCGAGTCGGATTGTTAAAAGAATAAGGTTGCGTAGCCTCTGAGAAAGGAATTGAAGGCCAAGAAGTTCCAAGATACCTACACTCCATCATTCATTACCTACCTTCTTTTGGATACCAAGAGTCAAGCTTGACTCCAGCAGTCAAAATGGCCGACGACGAAGTTTTTGTTTTCAAGTTCTACCAGTACAACCCGTCCCTCTGGGCAGCCGCCATCAGTACCGCCGTCTTCGCGATACTGACGGCAATCCACACATGGCGCATGTTCCGCTCGCGCGCCTTTTACTTCACGGCCTTTACCATCGGCGGCGCCTGCAAGTGCACCCAAACTTAGTCCTCTCCTTGTCGCCGCTAACACTCCCCAAGTCCAGTCGGCCGGCTACGGCGGGAGAATATGGTCGCACTTTGACCAGGAGGCCATTGGTGGCTTCGTTATTCAGGAAATTCTGATCCTCGTGGCGCCCGCCCTCTACGCTGCGTCCATCTACATGATCCTCGGCCGACTGATCCGCGCTCTGCGCGCCGAGCACCTCTCCTTCATACCCGTCCGGTGGTTGACCAAGATCTTCGTCATCGGCGACATCGTTTCCTTCACCATGCAGGCAGGCGGAGGCGGGCTACAGTCTGTAGGAACTCTGCAGATGTACGAGCTTGGCGAGAAGATCATCATCGTCGGTCTGTTTGTGCAGATCGTCATCTTCACCATCTTCATGGGCACGTCCGTGACGGTCCACCGACGCATCTCGGCCGCCCCGACTCCTGCTGCCCTTCGAGGAAACGTTCCGTGGAAGAAGCACCTCTGGGTGCTGTACATAACGAGCCTGCTCGTCCTCGTGCGGAGCGCCTTCCGCGTCGTCGAGTACCTGCAGGGCAAGGGCGGCTATCTCATCTCCAACGAGATATTCCTCTACATATTCGACGCGGCGCTGATGGCAGCTGTCATGGGCATCTTTGCCGTTTGGTACATTGGGGATTTGGAGCAGGACAAGTCGGACGTGTACGCCCTTGATTCCATGAGCCGTGTGAGCTTGGTGACTGACGGGGGTGTGGCGCAGCGACATGGAGATGCAGCCCAGGTGAGGGAGATGGTGTAGGGGTGGAATATTTTCAGGGCATGGACCTATAGACTTTCTTTTGTTACGGTAAAGGCAAGATCCGGTGGTCTTTTTTGGATCTGGGCATCGTTTGGGTTGCATAGATAGGGCACTCGTCGAATTGGTGTGGTTGGTGGTGAGGCTGAAGGGTCAAGGTTTTTTTTTTTTGAATGATGATATACATCGTCACCAGTCTCATATGCAGGCCCATGAGTACAGCCTATTCATTAACATAGCCTATCAATTAACACAGCAGTTCCAGAGACGCAGGTATCCACGAAATTGTAGGGACACCATCCAAGAATACCACATGCCCCTAGTATAGCTCCGGTTGCATGACAGTCCCGACCATGGAATAGCTTGTGTTCTTCACGCTGTCAACCAGCTCATACGTCTGACATTCGGTCCGTACGAAGACGGCCGGGTTGCGCGATACTGGCCGTAGCAGCACTTGCACCGCCTTGGCTGTGCCTGGTGCGCTTTCGTCCCAGCAGTTGAGGGCGTATCGGAGCGTCGTTTTCTCCCGCTTCTTGAGCCACATGTGGTAGGGGATCATGCCGACGACGGTGAGTCCCGAGAGAATCGCCGCGGTGTAGTGTTCTCGCCTGCCGATGGGTCCGCTGATTCCCTGCGGCGTCAAGGTGAATCCGCCGCGGTGGCGCACAACGCCGCGACTGCTGTGGGTGTTCATGGCGCCGCAGCCGGCGAACCAGGAGGGCGAGGCAGCAAGAAGGCCCCATTCATACGGGCCCAACTCGACTGTCGGGATCGGTGATCGGTACTCTTGTTCGTCTGCCACGCCTGCCGGCATCTTCCACGCGAAGAGTGACTCGTCGTTCTTGGCGATAAGGGCGTGTTGGAGTCGCATGAACGCTTTGCGACCTTCGCCGTACTGGGCATCCATGTTCACGTTGAAGATGCCCGCCATGCTGTACGCCATGTCCTCCTCGCGCGTAGTCTCTCGGCCCGCCATCCAACTCATCTTGGTTGCGATGCAGGCGTCGCGAAAGTGTAGTGCACCACTGAGGTAAGACATGGAGATTCCTGTGATTTGAGAAAGGGGTGCGGCCAGTTCGCGCTTGCTGCCGAAGTAGTTCCAGTCGGCATCGTATGGGCGACTCTCTTCAGCTGCAAATCCTACATGCACCTACGGGAATACCCCCGGGGTACATTTCCTTCAAACGTTGGTAGTACCTCACCTCTTGCATGAGTAATTGCATGTTCACCAACTCCTCGTTCTTGGGCCAACCAGGACACCGCCATTTGTTCTTTTGGCCATCCGTCCGCCTTGGCATCATGGCCCGGATGCAGCGTCGCCTGCCACTGCTTGGTCACTACGGAGCCTCCTCGCGCCTCACCTGATTATAATGATCCGAGAATAATATGGCAGCCTTTTTGTGAAGATGATTGATGTACTGGTAGTCTTCCTCCTGGAGGTAGCCATATCCAAAGGATCGATGGGCTATCGAGAAGGCTTTCGCATCTTCGTCAAGCCGCGCAAAGCGCAGGGTGGCCTGATTCCTGGCGTACCGCACATCCATGCGCATGAGGTGGTGAATCTCGAGGAAGACCTGAGCGGCGATGGTAAATTGCATGGCAGTGGAGTATCCAATGCCGCACAAGACATACCAGACGCTCCTGAGAAAACTGTCTTCAAAACGTTCCTTGAGAACTGACTCGATCGGCAATAGATATGCCAACGCGAATGCATCGATCAGGTAGGTCATAAGCGACAGAATGCCCTCACAGCGCTGCCTCTTCTCTGTCATGGCGCTTCTGTCATCCGTGAGCTTGACATGGTCGAGAGGGTGAGAAGTGGAGGTGGATTTTGCGAAGTCGAACATATCTCCGTTAACATAATCTTCTCATATGCGAACGATAGACTTTGGGATCATGGCGGGTGATGAGCAATGACCGGTGGTTTGCGAGTGGTGTGATTGAGGCAGGAGAGAAGATGCGGTTGATCAAAATGCCAACACGACGCAAAATGCCAACACGATAGGAGAAAGCGGTTACGGCTAGTGAAAAGCGTGGATCCCTGCGGACGGGAACAAGCGATCCTCGATTAGAAGGCTGGACGATCCCATCACGTCGGAGAGGAGTTGCAAAGCCCGACGAATGTGAAGAAGAGGGACTGCATCGGCAGTTCGAGAGGGTTCGCGACTGGGGGAGGGAGGAAGTTTATTCGCCCTCCACGGGAAGGGACCTGAGCATGCCCGGGCAGGTGTGATTTAGGGTTTCAGAGGGCAGCACCAACAGGGCTAATTTTTAGCTGGGTCCCAGGTACCTTGGGTGAGTCCCCAGCCACGAAAGCCTGGGGCAGGTGCACGAGGACTTGACAAGATCCGAGGTTCAATAGCAGGATCAAAACTTTTGAGGAATAAATGCAATGAGTCGCATGACGGAACGCCTATCCACAAGGGACCAACTGATGCTGGACACTATTACCCTGGTTCATGTTGCTGCAGAGTGTGGCCACGTCAGTGGTCGGTTACGGTGTACTACACAGTGTATTATCCAATGACAGGCCAGGTCTGGTTCCCCACTGTCCCGGGCAGTCCACTGAGACCCTACTCTCGCTCGGGCCCCTACCTTACTCGTAGGCGCAAGCTCGTACTGTCGGGTTGATACGAAGACGCTTGTTGAATCACGGCTCGAGCGGCCGGCATCCTTCCTTCTTTCAACACCACTCTTGCCTCCAACCCCCCGCGATGGACATCAACCTCGGCCGACACTCTGTCAAGTTGACACGAAAGTCCCATCGCAAAGTCCGCACCGGCTGCTCCATCTGCAAGACACGCAAGATTAAGGTTTGTCTGTCCTCGCCACTATCTCCCCCACCCTTCTCCCCCCGGCCTCAATCTAAACAACCCTTCAGTGCGACGAGCAGAAACCCCAGTGCGGCCGCTGCAAAAAGTTTGGCGCAGAGTGCGACATTCTCGACGCCCAACATGCCCACGCCTCCCAGAACATCCTCGGCCCGGGCTGGCGAACCCACCTCGATGCCGCCGCGTCCGTCAACCTGGACATGCACGACCTCGAGCTCATGTTCCACTGGGACTTAGCTACTCACGCCACCATGTCACCAAACCCGAAAATGCAGCACTATTTCCGTCGCAACATGGTCGCCATGGCATTGCAGTGCGACTATGCCGCCCTCTCCATGCTTTCCCTGGCCGCCCTGCACCTTGCTCACCTGACCCCAGGGCGGCGCGCTGAGCTTACCGACCGCTCCCTCCACCACCAGAATCTCGCGTCGCGCAAGGCCATTAGCCTCCTTCCCGTCCCCGAAGGGCCCGGCAGCGAGGGGATGATCGACAATCTCTTGGTTTTCTCATCCTTCACCATGTTCCACGGTGAGTCTCACGCCCGTCACACATGCATGCCCTCTTCCCCCCCCCGCCAGGCCCTGAAACTTCACCAGTCATTGCAAATTCGGAGAGAACAAACGATCTCCTCCTCGGTCACACCGCCCCCCCAGAGGACTCTCCGGACTGGCTGAGCCTCTTCTTCGGCACGACGCACCTCGCCTTGTCCTCGCCCTCTTTCAAGCACCGCACAAGCCCAATGGCCCCGATCATCCAGTATTCTATAGATTTACTGGAGCTCCAGCAACAGCTCGACCACCCCAGTCGCCTCTCCCACTTGCACGCAAAACTCGACGCTCTCGACGAGACTCAGTCGTCCCCAGAGCTGCGTACGATTTGGGCCTCGGCTGTCAGAGAGCTCGACAACATCATTGCCGTCTTACATGAGCGTCCTGACACCCGCGACCTATTCCACGTCATGGCCTGGCCGCAGGTGAACCTTTCCGACTTTATGCCCATGCTTCGCCGTCCGTCGCCGCCACAAGAAGCTCTGGTGATATTCTGCTACTTCGCCATGGTCCTCGAGCAGTTGACGCCACAGTGGTGGCTCACTGGATGGGCCGAACGTCTCACTCGGCAAACATACGAGCTGCTGGACAACGAGCACAAGACCTGGATCGTGCCAGTGGAAATATGAAAATAACATCTTTGACGAAATCGAGCAATCTATCGCTATGCAAACTTTTGGGATCGGAGCTCGCCTCATATCAGCGACTCTCGGCAAGATCGTGGGCGGAGATTCTGCGGGGGAATGGGAGGGTGGCGAGCTTCTCGTCGGGGACCGGGCTGCAGCCTCGGTATTTATGACGGGGAGGGTTCGGCCGGGTCTACAGAGAGGGGGCCTCGACTTCAGAGTTGGATTGGGAGGCTTCGGTGAACGGTTCCTATATGTAGACGGGTGGTCGTTACTTCTGTCTGCTCCGGCCGAGTGTTTTAAGCTCTGCCGTCTGGGCCAGCTGCGACGAAGATTGGTTGCGTTGTCCAAGCACCTTGGTATAGGTCGATCACGGCCCTGGCGCCCTAGTAGTCTTCCATGACCCAGCTGGGGGTTAGAAAGTGTACAACAACTAGAGGAGATCCAGGATCATTTACGGTTGCGTTTGTTGACAGCGCCCCATCCTAGCTCGCTAGAACGAACGCCGGCGACCTCGGTCATGAACTCGTACACACTATTTCGACGTTTCTTCTGGGCTGAAAATATACTATGGAAAGAAGACGTCCAAGGCCGTCCTGTCAACGTGGCCTTGTCTGGCAGAGACACAGTAATTGACGCCAAAGCCGTTGGAGCATACCTAACAGGGGCCGATGGTTGGAGTATTGAAACTGGAAGATGGGAAGATGAAGTGTGGAAAGGAGATGTGTTAGAGGTGCTATGGTTTGCAGAGTTAGATCACGGTCAGGCATTTGGCGAGAAAAAGGCGAGAAAAAGATTGGTTGATGTGGTAAGGAGGTTCTGTGTTCAGGTATGACCTTTGAAATGCTATTAAACTGGATTGATTAAACGATATGAGGAGTAGGTCTGTAGATAGAATGGCCACACGCAGGAGAAACTGTACGGCTCGTCATTTGACTGATCCCTCGCCCTCTGACTACAGTCGCGCGCCGAAGGGCCTCGACACGTAGCGAGCATAGCTGTAGCCCGTTGCTAGGAGGCACGAAACGACGGTACAGTCTTGCCACCCATGCCAGACTATGCTGCCTTCGATTCTGCTCATGACGATATATGTGCTGCCTTGATGAATAAATAGTAAGGTACCTTGGGTATGGGTATCGAGATGTGTCGGGCATTTAAACCAGGAGAAGTCTTTTGTTGTTGACGGCGACTAACAGGATAACGAGTGATGTGTCTAGGGTAGGCACCAAAAAGATATACAGATCCGACGTTCGGGCTAATGCACTCAGGTTAAGGCAGCAGCGGGAGATGTGCCTATTTCCAGGCCGAACTGGCAAATGAACAAAGTGATTCTTGCCGCAGCCCTGAAAAGCGCAGAAATCGGCTATTTCAATACCTGAGATCTCAGTTAGTCAAAAATGTGCGACTAAGGCTTGGCACTTACCTTTCTCCGTCTTGATCGCCCATATCTCATTTGCAAAGTCCCCTTGCTCTCTTCACAGCCGAACTGCCTGTTAAAGGCAAGAGTAACTAAGTTCCACATGCCCTTTCCCTTGCTGGGCTCGTACAACCGAACCATGTCACAGAGAAAATCTTCGCTATGACTGGCCTGGGAAGTAGGGAGTGGCCGTTTCCGGCAGTCCTTTGCCGATTCTCCCAAGGTAATCGCGGGCCGCTGCGAGTGATGGCCAGCCATAGACGCGACCTGGGCAGCGGGCGCCATATTCATGGTCGATGGTTTATCAGGCTGTCCCGAGGCTGGAAGAAACTCTGTTCCCTGTGCGTAATGCTGCCCTTGATCTGGGTCAGGGAAACTCGTTTCATTATCCGCCGACAAAACGTGCTGTAGTGCCATTGTCGGATGAGGCCCTTTCAATGATACTTGACGGGTTACGGAGGGGTATAAAGTTGATAACGTTGTCCGAACAGTCTCTACTGTTGATTGAGAGTCCGACGACCGGTTGCCGCATGGAGATGAAGGCTCGCGAAAATTGTCGACATCCTTTGCAGTATGCGATGGCATTTGGGGATCTTTCCGGGCCGGACCGATAGCCGAGAACAGTCCTTGTCTAGCAAATGAGGCAGATATAGGCGCCGCATGGGGGGGCCTCGTTATCAAAGGCCGCCCTGTGGTGACAGTCGAAAGGGACGCCTTCTCGACTTCAACCCTGTGATCTTGGGATGGTTCAACTTCAGATCTTGGAAAGGAAGAGCCATGATCGTCAGCCATCGTCTCACCTGTTTGCCATACTGGCCTACCAAGGGAGTTCGAGGCCACGGTCCGCGTTGAAGACGTCCTCTCTATTTGCAACACCTCTATACCGTGATCTACGACATGAGCTCCGCGGGTCTCTTCGGAGTTATTCTGGGAGTGCTTACGAGGCTCTCTTTGCACAACAGACATTTTTGGGCCAAGCAAAGACCGTGGGAAATGCGCGGACGACAACCCAGCGATTGGGGGGCGGGGGTCATGGCCGTTCGATTCGTCCGGTACGGTACGGGATGGAATTTCCCTATCCGGCGATGAAGTTTGCTGCCGATGTTGAACGTTCGGATAATTTCCGTATGGGTTCTGCTCCCAATACGAGGCCCTTTGAGGCTGGTAGCCGGAGGCTGTCGCAAACCGGTCGAAAGCGGAGTGTAACCCGCCCACCACGGCTGCTGCATCACTTGCCAGTTGAAACAAGGATGACGACGAAGTGGCGCTGGTAAACGTCTCTCTGGCTACCCTACAGCTCGACGGCGCCTTTGGATTTGAGCTTCGGCTGGTTTCTATTGAGAGAGGATGAGTGCCATCTACTTCTGCGCTCAAGGGAGAATCTTGGCGACTGGTGGACCCAACCTCTCTGTCGTCCTGTATCTCGGTATCGTGCGGCAGCCTTTCAGCCACCACTGCAACTTCCTCTCGTTCTTGGGCTGTGGTGGAAGACTGTGGTCGATCTGGTGGATTGGCATTTGGACTCTCTGTGGCCACTGCCAGGCTCAATCCAGGTGATCTCCGCGATGAAGTACTTGACGAGCGAGAACTATTCCCTACTTACGATTAGTGGCCATTTGAGGATAGGACGAGATTTCCAAGGAGCCTACCGTAGGATGCTGGCCAGGACAGGGTCGGTGATGGTGAACCGTCCGGAGTAGGCTCTGTGCCCAATGTATCAGTTAACAAATGCTCTGGACTCAGACTTCGAAAGGTTCCCGTCATAGCAGGTTGTCGATCCACCACAGGGCAACCGCTAAGCTGTTCAAGGTTCAGTCTAGGTGGTGTAGAATGTGTGCCAGCTTCGCCACCCACAAGGTTTTGCTCCGGTTCCTGGGCAGCGATGAATGGATGGATTGGGTCTGGCGCGCAGCTCATGATGGCAGTCGTCAGAATGCGAGTCTCCGTAGCAGCCTCGGCTGGGCTCGATCGAGATGAATCATGCGATGACGTAAGTGATTCGTGGTCATTATTCTCTACTTATGATCAGCATCTGTTCGACCGCGGAAGCGTTTAGTTGCGGATCCTACCCATAGATGCGTCTTCTGTGGGCTCTTCCCCGCAAGTGGTCTTCGCTTTCTCCATAGCCTCCAGTTCGGCGGAATATCTCAATGCAACATCGTAGCCAGAAACGGGAGAGCCGTCAGGCCCGTGCTCGCTGAAAGGCCGTATCTTGTTGGCAGGTAGCCACGAGAAACAGCCCGACGAAGGGAACTGAAACTTCTCTCCTTGCGGTACCAAATACTCGTCATCCTGAAACCAAAACACTGGAAACTTTCGTTTACAGACCTGAGAGCCACCGTCTTCGTACCCCTTCTTCCATCCATGAATATGCTTCTGGCCGCTTCTATAACAAACAGGGATATACCCATCTGCTAGCCCGGTGTCGGCAATGGAGCCGGCTATTCCCGCTGGGTTGAGGTCATCGAGAGGTAGTATAATGATGGCGTACCAAGCAGATCGCTTCGAAGCCGAGTTAGGGCCCCACCTTCCAAGGTACAGTTTGCCTACATCTGGATAGGCGATGCCTTCGAAAGACTTCTGCTTCTGTGGCGTATCTTGAGGCATATCGTCAGGAAGGCTCCCAGATTGTTGGGCTGATAGACCCCTTTGTCGTACCACTCTTGTCAACCCCAGACGCTTTTGCGCCTGCAGAGTATCATCAGAGCGATTCGAAGATAATACGTCCTCGTTGAGCCGTCGACGTTTCTGACGCCAAGCCGAGCTTGGATTCGAGATGGCGGGTAGCGAGGATGGACCATTGAGAGAAAAGCGGCGTGGAGCCTGGCGCTGCCGCGTCGATCGGCGTATGTCCTTGTCGCAGCTGGGCGACTGTACAGATCGAGGTCGGGGACTATCCGAAGGAGGCAACACAGGTGGGTTGTCCGAAACCACGACTGGCTCGGATTGAATGAGCGAGCCAGAGGAAGAGGCTTCGCCACTGGTAAGGCCAACAGCTTGGAAATCTGTTAGTATAAACTCATCATAACACCTGGCCTCGTAGATGATTCCAGCGAATGTGCTAACCGTTTACCGTACCTAATGCAGGTATGGCAGCATGTGAGCGGGTTGATGAAGGGACCGAAGAGCAGCGGGAATCCGCGGAGTTCCCCGGAATTGGGCCCCGCGACGCTATTGTATCACTCGACCCAGAATGAATCGAGGGTCCAGTGCGGCTTAATGTCGTGGTCGTCTTCGAAACGCTTGCCGCCAACGTCGCCACTCTTCGGGAACGTTTATTCGCAGCCTCAACCCCTGCGTTCAGGCGAGCAATTTCTTGCCTGTCCGCCTCTTGCTCTTGTTGGATTTGATGAATCTCATTCCTTAATCGACTGAGCTCATTCTCCTTCAAGTCGATCTTCTGTTGGAGAAGGGGAACCCTCGCGTCGGCGGCAGCTTCGGCGGCACTTTGTTCGTCGGCTACCAGAGCCGTAATATCGGCAACGTCGCGGTAAACTTTGTCAATGTGAGCGTCAAGCGCAGAGAAGCTGAGCGTCTCCGCGGGGTGCATATTTCGTTAAGACCTCAGCATCAAGAAATGGTCAAGAGAAAAAGGGGGGGAGCAGGGCAATAATGTGCTTATGACGGTCCGGTGTTTTGTATTTTGAAATGGGGCCGCTTGCTCCGAGGCTGTTGGCGCTAAGTCCTGCTTGTTTATTGGGCCCGGATGCCACTGTCTCATGTGTGCCAATCAGCCTACGTCGCTGGATTCTGCATTCGACCCTTTCTAATTGGTTGGCAAGACCGGGCTTTTCCCCACCGCCACCGTCACCGTCACCAAACTGTGGTCCAGGGTTCGGGACCATCGTGCGGGGTTCTCGAGGGATGAAGATGTCCCCAGCCACCTGAAAACTACTTTAGAGCATACTGAAGGCCGCGCGCACTTGCACAAATCCTTCGGGTACGGGGAGCAAGGCAGCGCTGAGAGCTACCTTGGTGTATATGGTCCTTAGTTCTTGACACGACCAATTATCCGAGGCCACAACCCAACAGCCTCAAGGCAGTGGCCCTGGATGATAGTTCATGTCGCGCCATGGGGCCTGCAGTCAGCACACTGGATACTGCTTGAAAGAGCAGTAGGACGAAGCAGAAGACCTTCTCGCGGTGTCCGGTGTCAGTAGGGATGACAGGTGTGGTGCGGCGCGTCGCGCGCTGTCGATTCCCGCGGTTGTGTGGTGCCGTGAAATTGTTCACTGGTGCCCTCCGACCTACAAACGGACCACGCGATCAACTACACCGCATCACCCACGCTGTTTCCGAAGCCAACAAGCTGCGCGAGGGGTACTGGCGTAAGAAGACCATCCGACTTGACATTGGCTGACGTCTATGAAGAGACAGAACACCCTCCGACCCATCCGGCCCCGGAAGTGCGTTTTCCACCGCGTCCTCCATCACATGCGCCACACCGGCGTCCGCTTCCTTTGGGTCGATGCACATCGCATCCGTCAAGACACACGTGGCGCCGACGATTGCGGCCGCCATTTCCACTGCATCAACAGACGCGATGCCATACAAGCTATGGACCTTGTGTACCAGCTCAGCGAGCACCCAATGGCGCTGCTAGGCTAGCCACTGAGGACTGGATTCGAGTTGCACCTCCTTAAGCTTATTCTCTCGTCCACCTCCGGCTCGACCAGGTACGGCGTCTCTTCACATCCGAGGTCGCCAGAGCGAAGCAGCTTCTACACGGCGAGCTCATATTCGGGCTAGAGACCCTCCGTGGTTGCAGGTGTCGGGGCTCGAGGACGACATGTCGAGACACGACGTATGCTGTCATGCTGGGCTGCACCGAGCCGATCGGTTGCCGATCCCCTAGATATTGTGTTCGCGTCACCACGTTGTCGGGATGTGCCTGGCTTGGTCGCCGAGAAGCGGTTAGGATGCCTCGAAGAAGCTAGCATTCCTCGTGGTAGTCTCCAAGTCTAGTTTTAGGAGAGTGGGTATATCTTTAGAACTATAACGTTTACGGCAGAGGGCCGGCAGCTCGCGTCGGCGTTAGGGGTACGCGACCGTTAAGATCTGGACGCGGATGCAGGCACGTGCGTGCAGAAGCTCGAGGTGCACGACAAATCGGTCATTAACCTGATCGCCATACCTGGACTAGAAATTCGGAATGGGAAGGCCCCTACGAGGGACGCGAGCCTTCTTAGTACCGGGCCGGGCACGGGCCGACTGGCGCTGGGGGTGGCGGCGGGAGCGGAGCCAGAGGAGCCCGAGGCGGAGACGGGGCCGGGGCCGCAGCGGGAGCGCTGCTCCCACCGCACCGGCAGCATCCACGGGGGCGGCGGAGCTGCCAGCGGAGGCAGAGGTGGGGTGGAGTCAGGGCCGCACTGGTACCAGCTCAGGTACGGACTCCGTGGACGGTCCGCACATGAGCTATCAGAGGACTTCTCCGAAGATCAACCCGAATGCTCCTTCGCTATATGATGTAGTTAGAGGGTGACAGCTTTGTCTATAGTTCCGTAAACAGCTGGAGTGTGGCTCAAGCTCAAGGTCTTGGAGAGATAGTGGCTCGTCGCAAGGTTGGTCGAAAAAGCCCAACAGCCTGTAGCTGTAAGGCCCCAAAGGAGGACTCCAGTATGCATGTGGCACGTTTGATAACGTCGGCTTGATGATAAAAGAAGACCCCCCCGAAGGATACCTGTGTTAAGCCACAACTTAGGCAGCTTGCGGGGATCTGCGTTTCTAGCCCCTACTGCTTAAACAGAACTTGAAGATGTAGCATCCAGGAGAGACTCACCAGATTCCTGAAAGTACTTCTCTACATTCACGATTCGAGATCTCAGTAACCGGAGCCGCGCGGCTGGGTGTACCCAGGAATAGACGGCCAATCAGCGGCATTGAACGCTGAAATTTACTGTGAGCACGGGACAGCATCATGAGTCCATTGAAACTATAAAGATCTGGGTGATAACTTTTTGGGTCTCGATGATAGTATGCCACGCACCATCACAACATGGCCTCTTCCGACTGGTACACCATCCCCTGCCGACCTCATATCAAGATTGATGATGAGCTCCTTGATGAGGGATTCGTCAAGAACGCTCTTGTCCTTGCCGATCAGGACCCTCAAAGATCCGGCGTGTTCTTCTCGGAGTTCCTCACCGGTTACTACAAGCAAATCGCCCTGGGGAAATGCAAGGACATCGGAGATACTTTCCTCGGGACTCTTTCTGAGGATGGCGACACGATTGCGTGGGACATGCGTCGCGACATGTTCCTTGGTGCTTCTCAGGCCTATCACCAATGCCATAGGCTGCGACATATCTATGAGAGTCTTCAAGCTGTCATGATCAGTCCACCCACATATCTCGAGTCTCTGTTGCAGTCATTGCGCTATGCGTATGAGGAACAGGCCCTCCTGGCTGCTTGGAGAGTGCGGCACATTAAAAGTGTGGGACGATTCTATGAACAGAGCAGGGAGAGGGCAACCCTGTCGGCCACAGAGCAGTAGGACAAAATCATGAGCTGATTGTTTGGCGTGGTGGTCCCTATTCCACTCCCTGTCACCGAGTCACTTCTACCAAAGGCGGCTGCAAGGCTACTTGTCCTTCTACTTCAATAATATCGTGACTCTTGCCACGCGGACGGCAATTAAATCCTAAAATCGATTTGCTGGATCCGCAAACTTGTTGTATTGTGTAATCGGCTGGAGGTGCTCCCTCGGCTTGTTCAAACTGGGGTCGGGGTTGCTCATTATACTTGTGGAGACCTGTAGTCTTGTAGTTTGAGATCAAGCGTTCTGCGTCAGATTAAGGTTTGAGGCCTCATCTTTGCAAACACCCGAGATGCCCTGCAGCTGTTGCCCTGGCAGAGCTGACATGATCAATGGGTGATCGTCCCCATTGCCCGCTCTTGTAGACCCACATATCCGTGATGCACAGAGACCCCCTTGAGTCGCATCTGCGTGCCTCGGCACACTCACCATCATCAGATGCGCCAATCGAGCTTTCGGGCTCACCGTACTGAACCGGGTACAACTCAATGCGCCACGGTGAGCAGTCTATCGGCATCTCCGGGTACTTCTCTCATGATAGCCCGGCGGGCTGATTTCCGACGTGGCCTGGCCAGTTGCTCGGTGCATCTTTCCCGGTTAGGCGACAATGGCATCACGTCACGAACGGTTGGCGCTACATTCAGAAATCATGCAGAGGACCAACTGGCATCCTGTATATTCGTATGATTGGCTGAGATGTACCCACTCAGCCTAGACTAAGTGGATCCACAAAGGTAGGAAGGTCACATCGCTTACGGGAATACGAAGCTGGCACTGTCAGCCTGACAAATCGGTGATGTTTACCATAGGATCGATTCTTCCATCCTCAAAACTTGCTTTGACTGGGAGGTGTCGGCAGATTTTGTCCAATGAAACTAGTCCCAGTCCAAGGAAATATGGCCAGGCCCCCGTTGATCGTCGGCGCGGCACTCTGACTGTTGGTGATTAGCCCCCTCGTTTGCCTCCTCACTCCTCAAGCGGGGTGCGGCTAGGCTAGGCTTCCAAGTACCATTACCCCACCTGTGCTCAGTCGCGGATTGCCTCCTGACTTCCAGTGATGGGTCCCGGCAGTCTGGTAACCTACTGCACGTTAAGAATCCGCAATCACATTGCTCGTCAACGAGTGGTGGAGCGATGGGTCTTGTTTGGGCAACTTGAGTGGTCACGGTGGGAGCAGTCGGGGGACCTTATGAATTGTCGCTCAACATGATGGCCGAACGGTGCAACGTACATCCCGTAATTTACGGTCAATACTGACTGCGATCAGCTTCGAGACTGGTGCTTGCCATGCCATATTCGTGGATTAGGGCAAGGAACTCTTCAAGCCGTTGCTGGTCAACCGGGGCGACTGTACGTAGGTCCTACTGCATGATGACATTCAATTGAAATACACAGGGCACTGTGGCATATGAGACGCCATGTCTTCGTGCCGGACCCATTGTCCATCGCCGCTCGCCTTGTCGTGACGACGCCATAGTTTCCCATTCCAAGTGAACGTGGAAGAAGGCAAGTGAAAGCATAGCCCGGGGGGAAGCACGCGTTTACCCTGAAGCGTACTGCGCACATGCAGCGCTCCATATTTCCAGATCCGCCCATCCCACTGCAGCGCAACCTTGGTCTTCTTCCCTTCGGTGCCGGTGTGGCGACTGACACATCCAGTACGTTGAGATGGAGCTAAAGTTCTGCGACAGGCAATTCTAGCCAAGTCGTCGTGTCTAGACTGTTCAGATTGCTTTCTGATGCTGTCATGTACTAGCCACCTTGTTTGCCAGGTGGCATAGTCGGGGTTTGTGTCGAGATCCACGTAAAGATTGAATGAGCGATGGGATAGCCATATCCGCTCCATGGTGTCCAGTTCGAGAAGACCAATGCCGCTGACTTTCGCCCAAGACTGATTGCGAAACGTCTGGTCATCCAAGAATTTACTAGCAACCATGAATGGAATGCAAAGTAATGGCTTCATATCAAACTGGAGAGATTGCTTGCTTTCCTGATCCGTCATGTACTGTAACGCAAGCAATACTGTGGCTTTTGGAAGCCGGGCTGGCCGAAGGATCGCGGAGATGAACGCATGATAATCCGGCGTAAGTTGCGGCTGTGCGAGAAGTGTGGGGATATTCTGAGTGACAAAGTCGATCATGGAGCTGATGTCGTAGTCTAAGACGGGGCAGATGCCCCAGGATGACATGGTGACAGACAAAGAAGGACGTGGAACTTGGCAGAGCGCCCGGGTGGCAGCCCGGATGAGGCGGAGCATATACATACCCAGAATCGGTGTGGGCGATTTATCACAAGACGTTCGGACGACTTTGGGATTCCGTTTTGGGATTCCGTTTCGAGCTTCTAATTTAAGGACAGCAGAGAATAACTTGCTGAGAAGATGGTTTGATCCTTCCTGAGTCCAGGCCCGCTTCGTCACAGTATTCAGCACACACGTCCGGCGGTGCCCTCAGGCTCCCATGGCTATGATAGGTCCCGAGGGTATGGTCACCAATGACGGCTCACGCCAGCCACACCATCCAAACGGATTTGGCGCGCCTACGCGCGCTCTCGTAGATATCACCAACCGACACGAAGATAGCCAAGGTGATTGGACATTTTGGGGAGCATTCCCTTCACGCCTTTCCCAGAATCACAATCACAAAGCACGTGACCCTCCTGCAATGCCTGTAATGCAGGATGCCCGCTCTGTGCGCCATGTCAAGGGGGGTTTCAATGCCCCCAGACGGGACTGCCATCCTCTTTTCTTGTAAAGTTAAGCATCTGGTAGTCATGGCACTTGTCCTTCTCCTTCATACTCAACAGGAACAGAGGACAAGATGCCTATGCCCATCCATGACATCGATCTGTTGATTCGCAACATCGAAACGCTTCTAAACATATTGAAACGGGTCAAACGCATACGAAGAACCCCTCCGGCCCTCGTGGTGGCAAATGCGAAAGAGGAAGTCGCCTCGCTGCGAAACTCCATCGAGAAGTTCATCCGTACCATCGAAGTTGTCCCTGGTGGCTGCGATACTGGTCTGGAAAGCGATTCAGCTAAAAATGTGACACCAGAAATTGTGCATAGGTCCATCGAGGATGTTGTTAGCACCGCTCACCAGCAGAGGACCGAAGAAGTCGGCGTCACTACACCATTCCCTCTTCCCTCCCCCCTACACTTGGATTCGAATTCCGATTTTCAGGTGGCGTCACCTGCATTGAACGTGGAGCAGACTTGGACTGACCTTGCTGTCAATGTGGATGAGACGAACTTCAACGGCGAGGAAATTCAACACTCGAATGCAACAGGAAGAAAACATCTCCCGGAAATCACGTCTCAATCGTCACTAAGCCCCTCGTGGACGAAGTTGGATGATGAAGTACGACCCGAGCAATTCAATGCATCAATATGCGACGTTCCCACACCATCAAGTCCCAAGCCACCAAGGCCTACACCTTCCGCATCTCCTACTTCTCCAGGTACCGCACCAGAGGTCAAATCCTCGCAAGCCGACTTGGACGGCGAAGGTCACCTTCCTACAACACTCCCTCTTCTGGACGACGCGAGTGATGACCGCGAGAAAATTTCCTCATTAATAAACATTTCGGTCGAGAACATACCGCCTCCTTGGCTTCATTGTCAGACCAAGGATGACTTCCGCCAGAGACTGAGCCAGTTTCTTCCAGGCAACTGGATTGACGATGTTCTCATCCGAAAGATGCTTGCCATCTTGGCGCGCCAGCATGGCTTCCTCGTTTTCGATTCACTGCTTCTGGACATCACCAAGCCCCTGGGACACATTGAACAGCTGCACCAAGCATTCGCAAGACATCCGGGACTCATTCTCCCGCTCCACGTCAATGCTCAAAACCAAGGAGCTCGCGAAGGACGGAATCATTGGATCCTGGCCATCATAGATCGACTGAAATGCTGTTTCACCTCCTTTGGCATGGAGTTGCAGTACCACAAGCTTTGGGCAGATCTGCTTTTGCCCGCTCTTCACGATGCCACCCAATCAGACCACCCTTTCATTGTCAGGAATGAAGAGGTATGTTGTTCTCTGTCCCTGCTCAAATAGTACTGACAAAGAAAGAACGGGCCGTATGAGCGGGACTCCTGCTGCGGCCTCCTTTGCTTCCTTGCTGTCGAGCGATACTTCGGCCTCATTCGCCTCCATGATACCTGGCCGACGGGAACGGAGCTTCGGGCACGCTATCTGCAGAGACTGGTCCAGGACTGGATAGAGCCCTCACAGCTCTCTGTTTTTCCGGGTCGGAGCCCTGTCGTTGCATCGGAAGACCCAGTCCACGCGGTGTATCGAAGTCTCTCGGCCTCAACGACCCCTTCTGTGGCGGGACCATCTTGCTGCCCTGGGAACCACCTCTGTGCACGGCTTGATTTGGAACTGGGTTCAGGGGATCTCGACAGCTCCCATCTCCTCGAAGCATTGGACGACGAGAGTCTGGTCCCCAAGATCCAAAGAAGAGCACGACTTCTGCAGATGATGGCAGAATGCACAATACCCACTGCGCGAGCCATGACCGATCTAAAGGATGCCATGCCAGAGAGCAATGGCTCCTTTGTCACTCCTCTCAGGAAGTACATACTGCTAAATGACCAGTCTCGGGTGATTACATTCAAAAAGAGACTTCATCTGGTGGAAGCAGCAGCGAACTTCGACCTTGACGTTGCCCGGCTGCATGCGGAACTGGAGCTCAAGCGCCAAATTCGAAAACGTGCAAAGACTTCAAAGGATCCCGGCGAGCCCAAAGACTCAAAGCCGGAACTGGTCTTGCTGCGGGAAGCTCTGAGCGCATCTGAGCGTGACCAAAAATGCCCCGACAACCCCAAGAAGAGTCTTTATTATGCGCTCATCCAGCAGGGACGACAACTTCGTTGGTTATCTCAGCACATGGGCCAGAACTTTCTCGCCACGCTGCCTTGCACTGCAGTCTATCCAAACAACGCACGTCTGCAGTTGCCGCGCGCAAGCCGATGCTTTGGCTCTCTGCGCCAGACAATTGAGCCAGCTAAGTATGTTCATGGCATCTGGAGCTGGACCATGGCTGATATCCCCCTAGTTATCACGACTTTGATAACGACGATAGTGCATACTTCGTCAAATGGATCATGCAAATTCATCCTAGCCTCCGGAGCTTAGGACGTACTGACCCTCAGTCATTGCGAGCTTTGCTGGTGAAAGAAATATCAGGGGTGCACCCGTCGCGCTGAGTTACGGCCCGCCACCCAATCATGGCCGAGTCGTGGAGATTTTTTCCACCTTTTACCTACACGACTAATCTTCTGATTGGTGCTGAACAGCCAATCATATTTCTTTCAATGAGGGTAGATTCTGATTGGTGCTTAGTAGCCAATGAGATCCCTTTCAGTGGAGGTAAAACTGAGCAAAGGTCGAAAAAAGCTCCACGGATAATCTTTTCATTGGTGGAACTTCATCTATTCAGGCCAATGACAGCTAGGTGGGTGGATCTGGAGCCGGGCAGTCTCGTGGATGATGTCACGCCCGTTTAGCGAGGTTTTGTTGACTCATGGCCGAGTCGAGCGTAGATCGAGTGATTTGTGTCAGGGGTACAAAGATTGACATCTGGGGCTTTTGGATGATTGGATTTGCTGGGGGGAGTAACCAATAGAATCTGCCATAAGGCACTGCTCGTTTACAAGTGGGGCCCTATCAAGGTTCTGCTCATGTACTTCTACCTTGAAGGCCACTGCCACCTGCGTATGGAACCAACGTCACAAACAGTGAGAATGCAACTCTTGGCAACGAAGGAACCAACAGCCCCGAACCGGCCCTATTTTTTTTTTTTTCATGGCCTCCACGGAAACTAGTGCTTCCCCCATTCGATTGAGAACTGTGGAGGCTAGTGGTACCTTCAGAGGAGGCCCCGACCACCAAATCAATGGAGTCCGTCGCGAAACACGACACGGCATCATCACCCGCAGTATTTGAACCAAGGCCATGTCCACACGGCCGCACAACAAACGAGCACACGACTGCAGCACAGACCAGGTGATCTGAGAACTATCGCCTGCCACAAAGCTTGCAACGTCCCACAACGACGCGTCGCCCTACAGAACGGCGTCATCTCCCGCACGAAGTAAGCACCAGGCACCAGGCATGCTACGATCGATGTCACACAATATGCAGAATCGACAGGCTGGTCCCCTCTCCTAGAAGGGCTTGCCCACCTGTACATAGGCAAGAAAAGACACAATCACATAGTAACTCAGCAGGAGGCAGCAGGAATACACAGACATGAAGCCACGAAAGAGGAGTCAAGGAGAGGGTTCATGTACAGGCTCGAGGTCAGGTCCTGCGCAAGAGGGATGAAAGGGGGGCGGCAGAGACACAGACCTGTACCCCCAGCCCGGACTGGAGAGAGACAAGAGGGGGGAGAGTGGGCAGTGAAGTGAGGTGGGTAGCAAGCGGGAACCTGAACTGGGACTGGGATTGAGACTGGGCGTTTCGATATTTCAGGAGGGCCCAAGCCAAAGCAACTGTCAACAGAAAGCACACAAATCAGGCACAGCGGCGGGCAGTCTGGGATAGCTGTTCCTGCTCCAGCAACAGGGTGGTGCGTCGTGGTCCATCCTCGGCGCTTTCAGCTGTCAACAGACCCCTCCTACCGGACATAGCGACGGACTAAAGGGCGGCCACGTCGAGTAGGAAATCAAGTCAAGTCGAGTACGCCGTGGAATGTCGACCCTGTCAATGTGATAACTGCACCAGTCTCCATGCCACACACACGGCTGATGAGTCAATGTGACGATGTGCCATCTCCGTCTGACCGCCACCACTCCAAAATGCGTGGCGCTTTCAAGGGGGACGCTCACCTTGCGTACCGGCCCAACATCTGGTACTGGCCTCAAGCGACCGCTCAGGAACCGTTAAAAACGGACCCTTCTCTCAGTAGCGATGTGTGCCACTATTCTTGGTTGCAATGTGCACTTGGACTGGTGCGTCCTTCCTCTATCGGACGTGCACTGATGGCCAGCGATGTATATCAAGTTGCACGGGCGGCTTGCTCCAGGTCCAAGAGCTCATCACGACACTGGCCCTTCCTTATCATGGCCCAACTCCTCAAACTCTTAATATTCGTTGGTCCCCTGATCCTCCGAATGATGGAACATCACTTGGACACGCGAAAGTTTCTTACCCTTTTTGCTGTATCAACCGCCGTCTGCATCTTGCTGATCCACCTCTACTTTCGATTTGGCCCACGGAACAGGACCCCTTTCACTCGTTCAGATGTGCTTCTTTGACCAGCTTCACTGGCAATGCGGCCATTGGAGCTGGGTCGGGCGTGTCGAGATATGCACCACCGCTTACGTTCGTCCTTGCGAACTTCGCCTCGTGTACGCCACGGCTTACCAGGATCACCGATGCCCAACTTGTGATCCAACGACCGACTACGTCTCGGGCTGGATGTCAGTTACGTACCATACCAGCCCGCCACGCAACGCTCTCCTTCATGATACCTCTCCTGTATTCGGCCAATACCGCCCATCGAAGCTTGTCTTTGAGCCAACAGTTGCTCTTGGACCAGTAAACCCATTGAGAGGATATTGCCGACTGCCTCTGCCGCTGAAAAGCCCATACAGAACTTCTTCTGGTGTGAAGTACATGGCCCGAGCTACGACCTTGGCCCGCCGACCGAAATCGAGAAACCCGCAGCACTTCAGACAGGCCCAATGGCCTCGCCTGTCCAAGGGTCCCAAAGCACCCCCCAAGATGCAAGCACGAAACAGAGGGCAGGGAGGTCGGTTCTAGTCTCATGGTCCGAGAGAGGGATTGGAAAGGTGATTCCAGTATCACTGCTTTGTCGTTCCGAGCATCTGCTTTGGGTTTTTGTTTTGCGTTATGCCTGTACCTTGGTTTGTTTCCTTATATAACTACCATGCCGTCTCTTATGTTTCAATTGTGTCTTCTATCCGTCCTCAGCCACGATGCCCTACCTTGTTGGAGTCATTCAAGTTCCGCTCTCCCGTCTCGTGTACCTTGAACAGGGTCAGCGACCATATGATAGTGGCCGAGGAAGGCATCTAGCTCAAGTGTTTAATGACTCAAAAATCAATCATGACCGGCAAGAACATCATGTCAACGGCGTAGTACTCGAGCAAGACCTTCAGAGCATACTAAAACGACTGCAATTATCGCGCCATGGCTTGAAAGAGACCCTATCCCACGGCCCGTACCCAGTAGTATCCGATTACAATGTCGTCTTCTTCCAAGGAAGACATCGCATAGAGGCCGCCAAGTCATTCGGCAATGGTCTGTGGACAGTTCGACTGCACACAACCCCAGATTGGAAATACTTTTTCATCCACGAAACAAAATTTGTTCAGCATGAAGCCAATCGCTTTATCCATGAAACAAACTGGACTGACGGGGATGTCTATGCGAAAATCAGGGAATACCAAGAGATTGGCGACATGGACACAGTGGATGAGTTCCTTTCGCGACTTGGACCCTCCAAAAAGAAGTCTCTTGAGTATCTAGACACTCGTCCAGGGATTCGGCAGACACTAGATTCTCTCTGCACCTTCCCGGGTATTCGGAATGGACTACAACTCGGGAATCTGTACAAGTACTTCGTCCTTGGTCTCGACAGCGAGGTTGAATGTTATTTACAAAAGACACTCAAAGTTCTTTCGGATATTACATTCAACCGCCCAGAGCTACGGCAGTACTGGACCTTGAGGACTGTGCAGATTGTCGAAGGACGCTGGCCGTCCGTTAGCCTCGCTGACCGGAATTGGATCAAGGAAGCATTTCGGAAGAATGAGGCCTTCGATGGCATTCGGGATGAAAGTTGGCGGGGGAGGATTGAGGATGAGGTCCTGAACACACCAGTCATGATTCCAAGTATCGCTTCTTTTCACGAATACATGAAATACTTGACAATTGGGGCGCAAATGATTCACAACCTTCTCGTGCCAGAAGGTCTTGTTTCTGACTTCGCATCTGAAGGCCCTCCAACGCTACGGACAACTCTTCGATCAATCTGGCGACAAGCAACTCGACCTGTTGTGGAAGTTAGCGAAGGGGAGTTCCAGCCAGTACTTGGACCAGCTTCATTCGAATTGGTTTACACCACAATATTCCATGCGGCTCTTCGTCAGTTTCCGAACCTTATATATGGAGACAAAAATCAGCCACGGACAGATCAAGGAGATGTCATCCATGCCGCAATCAATCCAAGATGTCAGTATCTGTTTTACAAACGGGCCTATTTACTGGGATTGCGCAATGGCCTCATATTAAACGGGATATCACGTCCCGAGGCCTCATTTGAGCCACTGGAGCCCAGAGACTTCGAAGAAAGGAAGTTCTTAACTCAAGTCCATCGCCGTTGGGGCCGACCACACAGCCGCACGTTCAGGAAGATACAACGGGTCTTCTTCCTCCCGACTTTTCTTTCTTGCTGTCCATCTTTGGGAGACTTGTCAGTACTCTTGGTGCAACGGGACTTTGTTCACGCCTTTCTAGGGCTTTGTGAAATTCAGCCCGACCTTTCTGCAAACCGAATAGCTATAAACGAACCATTGTCAGGCCGACGCATCCGAAAGCTTCCATATTTCGACGAAGAACAGATTTCAGGGGCGAGTGACGAGGAGATGAGTGCAGTTGATGAGTGCATAGAAGAGGATGAGGTTATGATTGATGTTTCGTCGCGGTCTTCTGACACAAGCACACCATCTAACAACAAGACCCCTCTCGGTACGAATATCGAGATGATAGGCCATGATATATCATGGGAACACGATGGAAAAATGGATTCAGCAGCTGGCGATGGGAACGTTTCGTCACGATGGCCTGTGCCTCAAACTACACGCCAATGGTCCTCAGAACAATGTAGCAGATTATCTCGATCCGAGTTACCCATCCCTCCTCAAAGCCAAGACTGTGACTCTACTGAGGGATCTCAGTCCAATTCAGGAATTGAGTATCAGAACTTACATCGACTATATGTACAGTCAACATCAACTGAAAGCCCTGTGGTCCCTTCTCTTGTCTCATCCCAAGGAACCACCCTACAAACCAAGAGGACAACGCCACGACATGATTCGCGTAACTCGACTGCTCCTCTGTCTCTCTTTAGGCATTCATCCCCTCCAACATCGTCTCTTCAGGGTTGCCTCCCGTTTACAAGTTCTGAACGATCTTCAATGCTGGACAATGCGATGGCTTCGTCAGCAATCAATCCTTGCGACGACTACAAGCCTATGGTAATAGACAGAAGAGGACAATCCAACTCTATAGTTCCTCCTAGCTTGGTACGGGGAATAGCAAGCCTATCGAGTCAGTGGAGCGACGTAACGTTAGGAACGCATAGCTCGAATGTGGACAAGCAACCGTCCCCGGTTGCACCGAGCTATTTAGCATCTGGGAATGTAAGCGATGATGAGATAAGGAGCTCTCGCTTTGTGGAAACTTTGAAGTACTTGATGAGTCGATCTCAGCTTTCACAAGCTGTTGATCTGCACAGCTTACAACAAAGCGGCGATCTGCACACGGCCTTAGATGCTACTCCAGCTTCTCGGGACTTTGGTAGAGGCACTAGTATTAGCTCGCGTTCAACGTTACCAGCGATATTGGGTGGGATGGCCACATCTAACTCAATCCTAGACGGCTCCCAAGGGTTTTATGATAGCGAGGATGATATATTCTAAGATCTCATGAATCAAACCTCACATTAACTGCAATACTACTGGGGATGTATCTAGTAATTTAAGAGTGGACAGTACAGATTGTGGCTACGTTGGCTAAGTAGAGACAGAGAAATCGATCACTTTCAGTACCGACTTATGAAGGGTGTTAGCCTAGTGCTTTTCTTTACAGCCGACATGACCTTGATACCCGGAAGCCTCCGCCAGGGTGAAATACGGGCTCGAAGTAAGTATGCGTTGAAGTCACATTGGTGGTCCATGAATTTGGTATAATGTCGCGTGGAGTTTTCCGGATCTTGCTCAGCCTTTGAGTTTCAAGCTAAGCTACGTACTTTGTTCCCCTAATTAGACTACATCCACCTAGCCTAATAACACACTCTGGGTTCAGTGTCTCTCGCCACGATATCTTCTCTGTTCCTGCCTCTTCTGCCTTTCCTCTTCTCTGTTACGTTCCTTTGCTTTACGTACACTAAAGACATTAGCTTGTCACTGATACACAGAGTGTAGACCCACATGAGTCGAGTTATGACATAGGCGCTGTAGGCAATGGCAAGAGCATTGAAAGGTTTCATGATGACCGTTGAATGGGAGGGAACCTTTGAAGGATACGGGGTATGGGCAGTAACGTCAACAGTCACTTAGGCCCCTATGTCTCCTATATATGTATATGTTCTACGACAAATTCTGAAACACAAATTATGGTTGGACCAATAGGATGTAGATTTGAATACATGATATTGAAATTCAAATATCAATTTCAAGGGTTTGAATAGAAAGAACTAGGAGACGGAACGGTAATAACGTCTGGCTGAAAATATATGTCGACAAACCTCTCTTCACCCCCTGACTCTGCTCCTGACACTTCTTGCAGTTTCTCTAACCGGGAAACATAATCGTTGATATTCTGCTTCATGGTAGCGGACATATCTCGGAGAGCTTGATGCTGAAGCGTCATTTTCTCAACGTTGTGGGAATTTTGTTCTCGCAAGAGTTGATTCTGTGCTGTGAGATCTGCTACTCTTCGTCGTAGGTCATCAATGATTCGGCGGGACTGAGTCTCTCCCTCGGGACTGGGTGGTAGTGATGCCGCTTGGTATTCTACGGAGCTCGAACCTAATGATGACACGTCCTCCAAATTGAGGCTTTCAGGTCGCGGAGGCCTCGTGGGAGGCTTTTGTGATGGCAAAGCAGGCAGTGCCTTTTCGTGATTAGGCATGGCGAGCAGGAGGTCACGATGAGACTCAGGGCAACACGACGTGGGACAGCGAGGAGTCATTCATTTATAATGTGTAGTCATGAATTGATATCACACACAATACAGGAACCAGAAAATCAAAATTAAATCAAAATAAAAGAGATTTCGACAGCGGTTATTCTATATCACCACGTGAAGCCTGAGGGACCCAGATCCAGATCGCTGATATCCTCTTCGCTCATATCTTCATCGAGGTCAGATGATCCGCAGTACTGGCAAAGAGATCCCTGAGCCTGAACATCGTTGCTGATTTGGTTCACCGTTTCCATGATCACAGCCAGTTTACCATCCAGTTTCGTTATCTTTTCGGCTTGGGCCGCTTGATTCTGATGAATCCAGTTTGAAATCAGCTCCAAGGTATGAATCCGAGCGGAGATGACGAGGAACAAGCTATTCTTGTCAGCACAGCCGGGGTCTTTTTCGCTTTACTTACTTTTGGACCGCTTTGTCTGTGGAAGTTTCAGCTGTGACTGCGTTGACATTCTGATCCGAGTGGTTCGATTTGTTTGGTACGCAATGAGTCGATTCAGTGGTGCTGGGGTTGCTGGCTTTCATTTTGACAGTCGAGTCCGAGGGAGTTTCAACGACAGGCTGCGAGAGTAACATCATTGGGTCGATCTGATGAGAAGGCATCTGTTCCTCGGGAAAGCTGAGTAGCTGCAGGATCTCATCCGCATAGGGGTCCTCTTTATAAGTCGACATTTTGAGTATGTCTCGCTGGTATTCGAAGGTAGAACTGATGTTGCCGAGCGGTTTGCGAATGAGTTGGTTTGTCTTGCACTTCATTGTCAACATATATAGCTGGCACCATGCGCCCGGGTGTGAGCAAGACTTGGAGCTTAGGCGCCCAGAACCCGCCCACGTTTTTGGAAACAATATTAGAAATTCTATCTTTGCAACACTTCGATCCTTGTTTTACAAACACAAGGTCAGGAACCGCAAGGAGGCAGGACCCCACCTCTGCGCGCTTATTTAATGGACTATCCCCTCCCGTTGGCTCAGCTTTCGATGAGCGGCACACCCAAAAATTCCAATGCAGCATGTGGTTGCTCATTTCTTTGACCTTGATTGGTGGGCTGTCGCGGTCGGTTTATTCTTGGGGGAACTTCCCAGCTACGTGTGCGCTAAGCCCCTCCGTTGTCGTTGAAGCGGGTTACCCGCTCTCAGCAAGGTAAGGCCACTGTCTGATGCCCCCGCTATGGTCTAACATGGTGCAGAATCAACAGCCCACAGGGCGGTGAGTGTACTGCCTCACTGGAGCTCTCCAACCCTGACTACTTGCCTATCACATGGTACTTCTATCCGATTGAATGTCCCGGCGTCGTGGTTGCCCAATTGTTTGTGCCACCTGAAGCTCCATCCGGTGAAGCTTACATAAAATGGTCTGGAACCTGTTTCAGTCCAATTCCACAAACTAACCATAGCACAGGCAATGTGCAGGGGACCCGTCACTAACGTGTAGCCGTGTCTACATCCAGAACAGTAACCCAGCTGAATCGTTCGACTTGGAGCGCCGTGGAACAATAAGCTGCATGTCTGATGAAGCGCTCACATTGTCTACTGACATCTCAAGTGGTACTGCTGTCTCGTCATTCGGCTCGCTGTCAACCGATGCTCCAGGTTGGACTCCTGTCTCGGTGTTGGGATCACTGTCTACCGATATTGCAAGTGGCCCTCCTGTGTCAGCAAGTAGACTGGTGTCAGCGGATGCTGCGAGTGGTACTCCTGTATCGGCCTTTGTATCCCAGACAGTCATGAGTGGTAGCTCGGTCATGTCTAGCAACACACTTGCGTCGAAGCTTGAGAGCTACTCCTCACAGCTGCTTTCGACAGTAGTTAGTGGCTCTCAGTTCCCTTCACACGATAGCTCAGATACGAGATCTCAATTCGTCCCCAAGACTGTTACCATTACAGTCCCTATTACAACCATTACATCTCTTTGTCCGTTATCTTCAGCTATTTCTCAGGATTGAATAGGGTGACAGAAGTCGAAAGTATTGGCACTGCTGCCAAAAGGGATTGGTAATCGGTTGATGCAGAAACAATGAGGCTACAAAGGGACTTTCAGTTTGATTATATTTCATTAGTATTAAATACGTCTTTATCAACTTCGTGTGAATGCGGTGTTTCTCATTAATGTAAACTCGTTTATCAAAAGTCCGGTTTACTAGGTGTAAAGGAAGCACTGCCTGGGTTCTCGTGATTGCTACCATTACTGGCAACGCCTGTCTCCTTCTGAATATGGGATGCTTTCAGTATCTTGCTGTGCGCGTCTCAATTTAGATTGTCAAGTCTAAGCCACAAGATAGACGGTCAAAAATAACTATTCGAGAATGGAGTGACGCACTTAAGAGGAATCAAAAATACGACAGAGGCCCTCAAAAAGTTAGAAACGCATTTTTGATAGTCTTCATTGGGTAGTATCTCAAAGCTCAACATAGGCAAGTCATCTGGTGAGAAACGCGGTGGAATGACGAGGTTAGGATATCAACTTCTAGGAGCAAGGACTTTTAAGCATGCTGAGCTCAGCTGCGGGAATCATATGGAGCGTCGCTGCTTTTCTAATAATGAAGATAATTTTCGTAGTATACATGCAGACTTTGTAACCATAGTTTGATGTTTCTTGAAACAGAATGCACAGTACAAAGGTTTTTAGATTGAAAGAGCCGTTAAACGGAATGAAGTTTATCGAAAGATAGCCTTTTCGATGACAGACCTTAGTTTAATCTTTTCATGACTTTGAAATGTAACACTTGCCCTTTTTACGTATATAAGGTTGCACACCTGCATCATGATGTATTTTCGCAACTGTGATACATGGCCGACCATGGAGCAATACACCAACTACGACCCTTCTTCCAGTAGCATCGACGTTGACCGAGATCCTTCTGCGCACTCTATAGCAGCTCCAGCTCATGATGATTTAGACGACCAAAGCTTCGACTATGAGTCTCTTGCTGGAATCGAGCGAGAGGAAGATCAAAGAGATCAGCATCGTCCTCCTGGTCATGGGGACCCAGGATATCGGGACATCAACGAACCAATCTTTCATCGAGAAGACGCCCCATCCCCTAGGGAGGCGGTAAGTAACTGGTACAGGATTGGTAGTGGTCAAGATGCGTTTGACCACGTTTCATACGTCCTGCAGCAGTTGGCCAAAAGTGGGGGGCTGGGAAACTATTCAGACCTTCAAACCAAGATACTGGAGAACATATGGTTGACGCATGTTGCAAAACTTGAGAGGGTGAATCAGATTTTCAGTCAGGAGACTGAGAAGTTCCAGACCTCTTATGTTGCACTCAAGGCCATCTGTCACAGCTTTGAATACATTTGTGCGCAAAAGGTCGGATATGATGGGGGACAACGAAGACGACATAGAGATCTTGAGACGGCCTGTATCATAGACATCTGCACTTTGGTCGAAAAGATGCTGGGCGGCTTGGAACTTCCCTTGGCTACAATGAGCGAAGTCGGCGAATGAAGAAAGTCTATCAACAGTTGTTACTCCATAACATACGAGCTCGAGCTAATGGTTGACAGGACATTTGCCAATCAACTGATTCTCGCGAAGGGCGTGGTCAGCCAGTGCCTAGACGGCGCAATACGTCTCTTCGTGGGTCCATCAACAGCACAAGTCCCACGGCAGACGCAAAGAATGAACACACCTCAAATTATTCTATTTGAGCACCTTTGTCTCAGATCAAACGCAAGTTACGTTTCAAGCCTATCTTTAATGGGGATATTGACGTAGAAGGGGGCTGTTAGTGGGTCAGATCATAGTAGCTACATTCACAGTTTGGTGCATTTGTTTGGTCTACTGGATTCAATTGCTCGAGTAGAATTTCACCAGCCCTTATCGCAAATATTCCAGAATTCTTTTATGGGGGGCACTCTTTGTCAAGCCAAGGAAGGCTTCATGTACTGTGGATTTAGGTGGGATGCGAGATGGCCCCAGCGTGATGGGAAAATGCAACCATTGCCTTTGGAGTAGTTGGGGTATCGGGTGTCTATGGAGTCAGTATTGAGTATTGACTTCCATAGATAAGCATGATAATACATACCCTTAATGAAGCTTTTCTCTCTTGGAGTGAAAGTTCTCCTTGCAATAAGCGAATGTGGTCTTGAAGCTCATCGTGTAATTTACTCGACGAGCGACAAAGATCCGAATAGGCACGGCAAACTTCTCGGTACTTGTGAAACCAATAGAGAGCGCCAAACTGGTGGATCCTTCGTCGGATGGGGAGAGAAGGATGTTGTTCATCCCATTGTCGAGGGTTGACGGTTGACTGGCATTCTGAAGAGGCTGCAGGGACGTCATCATAGTGGCCAGGAAGCATGGTGAATTGCAGGATACTTTGACCGAGATTCTGAAAGGCGAATCGGATTATCCAGTAGATGACTCCAGAGTTATTGGAAGTAGAAAACCATGAATATATATTACTGGAATGATTCCATGTTTGGTCAATGGACAAGCTCAATAGCAGTGTTCCCAAAAGGCTCCGCGCGGTTTCCAGAAATAGATTGTATTAGATTGTTTCCAGAACAGGAAGCATCCAGCAACAGACCACACTGACATATTTCCAGAAATAAACTCCACCCGTATTTCCAGAAATAGCCTCTACTGACGTATTTCCAGAAAGAAAGCCCAACCCATCGTTTCCAGAACAGGTACTATCTTTTAATTTCCAGAAACAGACCACACTGGAGTGTTTCCAGAAAAAAAGCCCAACCAATCGTTTCCAGAACAGGGACTATCTTTTAATTTCCAGAAACAGACCACACTAGGGTGTTTCCAGAAATAAAATCACTGACGAATTTCCAGAAATAGACTCTACTCGTATTTCCAGAAATAGCCTCTACTGACGATTTCCAGAAAGAAAGCCCAACCCATCGTTTCCAGAACCGGGACTGTCTTTTAATTTCCAGAAACAGAACACACTGGAGTGTTTCCAGAAATAAAGCACTGACGTACTTCCAGAGAAAGCCCTTCCCATCGGTACCCATCGTTTCCGAAGAAGTTTCGTCTGGCTTTCGAGCTCCCTAGGACACAATCTCCACAGACTCCATCCTTTTTGGAGTAACACCTCAGATCGCGTTATGGAAGACTCATCAATTCCCCTTCCTTTGAAATTGAACAATCTGGCGACGATGAATACTTGGATTCAGTTGGTTAAGAAAGAGAGCTCCATATTGCTCGTTGAAAACGAATCAATATATGCCGACCTTGTATCATCCAAGTTGATCACCATCCTTGCAGGTTCGGATCTTGATAGTTGTTCGAGACGTAATCAGGTTCGTCTCCACCAAGAAGATGATACCTATATCGCCTACGCGTCGCTTCACAGACCTCCCACAATCTTCGACATCAGCGAGCACGGCGATCTCCTGCTTCACAAGGTCAATTACAGCACCGCAGAGAAGGTGGCCCACCAATTTTATGCGAACGTTTTATTTCCTTTAAGCTGCGTTGTTCACGTATCTGAAGCCGCGTTCAAATCGTTTAGCAACCTTGCAGATTGGATCACTCATTGGATTCTATTATGGCCACATTCCGTCTTTCGGCCTCTTCCCCTACTTGTCATTTCCACACTGAACCATAGCTTTCAAGAACGCTCGCTGACAAGAGAGGTGACTCTTCGAGTGCTCGAAATCCTGCGGAAACAGTCACCACATCTACCTCCTACATATCAAGAAGCGAAGAGAAGGATGTCTCTCGCTATTGACCAGATACAAATCGCCCGTGCAGATGCCTGGCAGATCTCAAGCGAAGCGAAAAGTCTTGCTAC